AAGTGACAGCAACGGCCAGTGCTATGCTGATCCGAAGCCAGGAGCCTCTTCCGGGTCTCCCACATGGGTACAGGGTCCCAAGGCTTTGGGCCGTCCTCGACTGCTTTCCCGGGCCACAGGCAGGGAGCTGGATGGGAAATGGAGTAGCTAGGATATAAACCAGCACCATATGGGATGCCAGTGTGTGCAAGGTGAGGACCTTAACCACTGCGCCATCGCGCCGGGCCCGGGAAATAACTTTTTAAATGAACGATTTATGTAATTATTTGAAAAGGCAGAGTGACAGAGAGAGATTTTCCATCCATTGATGGGCTGCACCAGGCAGAAGACAAGAGCTTCGCGTGGGTCTCCCACATGATTGGTAGGGGTCCGAGTCCTTGAGCCATCACCTGCTGCCTCCCAGGGTGGGCATTACAGAGAGCTGGAATCGGCAGTGGAGGAGATGGGATTCGAACAAGGTGTGCTGACTGTGGGATGCGGGCGAGCCAGGCCTGGCTGAGGGGCGGGGAGTGGTGGGATCTGACAGCGCAGGCGCAGGCCCCGGTGAGTGCATGGCCATCCTCTTACTGAAATCAGTGAAGTGGACAGAGGAGGCACAGAGTGGTAAAGCCAGCTGCCCCGGGGCACACAGCTGCTCGGCAGCAAGGCTCAACTCCTGGCAAACCAGCTCGAGCCTCTGTGCCGGGAACATCTCAACCTTGTCATTGCCAAAATCGACCTGAAGATGACCAGGCCCTCGGGGCACAGGGTCAGAGCTGCCTGTTACTCATCAACAGTAACAAGTACATATGTGTGTGTGTGTGTTTGTGGGTGTGTACATACACACATATATGAAAATTTACTTACTTGAAAAAGCAGAGTTAGAGAGACAGATCTTCCATCCACTGGGTCACTCCCCAAATGACTACAACCACCGAGTCTGGGCCAAGCTGAAGACAGGGGCGTTATTGGGGTCTCCCACGTGGGTGCAAGGGCCCAGGGACTTGGAGCATCTTCTGCCATTTGCCAAAGCACATTAGCAGGGAGCTTGGTGGGAAGTGGAGCAGCCAGGACTCCCACAGTGCTGTCACAGACAGTGAACTTAACCCTTTACACCACACTGCCTGCCCCAATAAACACCAACGTTTACTGACGGGCTTAGGGAGATCTGCATTCACATCTTGGCTCTGTTCCGCATTGGCTCAGTAGGTTATACACACTGTGAAGGCCTCAGTTTCCTCATCTGTAAAATGGCAATATAAGTGAGGCAGTGAGGTGATAGATAAGAACATGGGTTAAGACTGCACAGCCAGTGATTGCTCAGTGACAGTTAATGGACAGGGTGTGTGTGTGGCGGGGGGGGGGGGGGGACACAGTTTGGACCTGTCTCTTGGTGGGTCTGGGGATATTACATGGATTGGAACCAAGAGCCAATCAGAGAGCACGGAGCCGGCCTAGTTCTAGAATTCCAAGACCCCCTCTCTGCTGGCACCTGAGGCCAAAGGAAAGCCCCTGTCTTGCAAAACTTCAGCCTTGCACATAGAAGGGATTGGTGACAGCGCTCTCAGCCACTGTTTAAGCACCCCATTGTCCAGGGCCATCACCAACCCAACAGGTCCCACCGTGCCCAGGTGCCCCAGGAGGCAGCGGACCATGGAAGGATTATTTCTAAGAAGGAGCCAGCGACATCTAGTGGATGTCTAACAAAGTACAGTTCAGGATAGCTCATCTTTGGGCTGTTCATGGTGCAACTTTGTTTTTCACTTGGTGAAACTGAGTTCACCCACTTGTGATAAAAAATAAACAAACAATCAAACAAACAAGAAAACGGGGGCAGGGCCCGGCGCCGTAGCCTAGTGACTAGAGTCCTTGCCTTGCAACTGCCAAGATCACATATGGGTGCAGGTTCATGTCCCAGCTGTCTCACTTCCTCTCCATCTCCCTGCTTGTGACCTGGGAGAGTAGTTGGAGACCGGCCAGGGCCTTGAGACCCTGCACCCACACTGGAGACCTGGAGGAAGCTCCTGGCTTCATATTGACTGAGCTGCGGCCATTGTAGTCACTTGGGGAGTCAATCAGTAGAATGGAGGCTCTTTCTGTTTCTTTTTCTCTGCAAATTTGACTTTTCAATGAAAATAAATCTTTAAAAACAAGGGCAGTGGGGCCCGGCACGGTGGCCTAGTGACTAAAGTCCTTGCCTTGAACGTGCTGGGATCTCATATGGGAACCGGATCTAATCCTGGCAGCTCCACTTCCCACCCAGCTCCCTGCTTGTGGCCTGGGAAAGCAGTGGAGGACGGCCCAAAGCCTTGGGAGCCTGCACCCGCGTGGGAGACCTGGAGGAAGTTTCTGGCTCCTGGCTCTGGATCGGCACAGCACCAGCCATTGTGGTCACTTGGGGAGTGAATCACTGCATGGAATATCTTCCTCTCTGTATATCTGACTTTGCAATAAAAATAAATCTTTTTAAAATTAAAAAAAAATAAGCTTGTGTTTGATTGCCAATAAATGGTAATTCATCCATCAGATCTGTCTCCGGTAATTCATTGTTACGTTCACTGTGCCACATCCCCACCTGCTTGTTTGAATGGTCTACTGGCCGGAGACCCTCGATACCCCTACCATAGACCACTCCCTCCAGCTGATTCACTGGACTCAGAACTCCAACCATGAGGAGAATCGCAGGATCTGTGGTCTGACCGTGGACCACTGGGCCTCCCCAGCGACTCAGACGGAGCAGTGGACAGCATACCCAGATGCACATGGAGGATATGGCAGTCCATTGGGGCCTGCAGAGAACATCTGGTACCACAGCAGAGGAACGAGGGCAGAACAAATTGGTTAACTCCCCCAGCCCAGCACTGACAGCAAATACCTGGGCGAATAGAGACTCTAAGGTGGACTGTGTCAGCCAATGGACTTGGAAAAATTTCCTCACCCTCACATCGGCAAGATGGGTGGCATTTCAGAATTATTGAAAGCACTTGAGAAGAACCCTTGGAGTTCGTTCCACTTTGGGAATCTTGGAATGACATCAGGTGGCCGTTCCCCACCAGTGGGTACTGAGGTGATTGGGAGCCTGGGTGTGGCTTCCCTCCCATCTTCACCTTCCCCCAGACACAGAAGAAGAAATAGAAAATTTGTAAGTAATGGTCTCTTCCACTTTTCCCTAATCTTTTACTCAGACAGAAAGAGAGGTCCTCCATCCACTGATTCACTCCCCAGGTGGCCGCATGGGCTGAAGCCGGGCCAGTCTAAACCCAGGAGCCAGGAGCTTCTTCCAGGTCTCCCAAGCAGGTGCAGGTCCCAAGATTTTGGGCCATCCTCTACTGCCTTCCCAGGCCACAAGCAGGGCTGCTGGAGAAGTGCAACAACCAGGACATAGCCGGCACCCACATGGGATGCTGACACATATGAAGAACTGTCTTGGTAATTCTGTGAGAGCTGTTTCTCTTTTATGGAAGAAAGTCAGATGAGGGCTAGAAAGCCTAATCCACAGGCCAGGTGTTTGGTGCAGTGGTGCCTGTTGTCTACAATGGCGTATCAGGGGCTCAGACCCCTGCTCTGCGCCAGGCCATAGCAGGTGGCCATGATGGCTCAAGTACTTTGGTCCCTGCCACCAGACGTGCAAGAACCGGATGAAACTCCTGGTTCCTGGCTTCAGTCTGGCCCGGCCCTGACTGTTGGCATTTAGGGGAGTGGACCAGCAGGTGGGATGGTTCCCTGACTATCTCTATGTCTCTGTCTTCCAAAAAAATTTTTTAAAAATCGGGGAAGGCAGACCGCAACCAGCATGAGTACAAGTCAGCAGCAGGGCAGAGCCACCCAACAGAACGGCTGATGCCTAGGTCATTTCAAAGTTTCACAGCACTGTTAGAGAAGTCAAAAGGAGTAGGTGAAAAAAAGGAACAGTTGATATTTATTTTTGTCAGAAAGGTAAATCAGATTTACAGAGAGAAGGAGAGACAGAAAGATCTTTGACCCACTGGATCACTCCTCAAATGGCTGCAACAGCTGAAGTGGAACAGAGTTTGTAACTTTTAAAATAAATAAATAAATAACTTATCTTGTTAATTAAAAGTATTTAAAGTTAAGAGCCACAGCCTGCAATGCTGGGATCCCATAAGGGCAATAATTCGTGTTTCGGCTGCTCCACTTCCCATCCAGTTCCCTGCTGATGACATGGGAAAGCAGTACAGGATGGCCCAAGGCCTTGGGACCTTGCACCCACATAGGAGACCTAAAAAGAAGCTTCTGGTTCCTGGCTTCGGATCAGCTTTAGCTCTAACTGTTGCTGCCATTTGGGGAGTGAGCCAGCGGATAGAAGATCTTTCTGTTTTTCTCTCTCTGTAACACTGCCTTTCACATACACGGCACACACGCGTGCTGTTTATGCTGGATACTGAGTGTCAGGCCCCTCTTACAATGTGCTCCGGGGACCAATGCCTGAGTAACCCTCTGCAAACCACCGGGCACATCCTGGCCCCAGAGACTCTGGACAGGTTGCTGCATATCTCAAGATTTTTTTGATGTCCTCCCCTGAGCCACTGGCACGGACAGGAGGACTCAGGAAAACAGACAGACGTTGCAGATACCGCACAGTTCTGAAACATGGTGCAGTTGGTACAAGGCATTCCCGTAGGGAGGCCCAGGGTCCTTCAATGGCTGTGACCTAGCTCTGCCCTTGAGAGCCGGCCCAGCCACCCAGAACTGCCTGCCATTCACCCTCCCCTGCTTTTTTACTTTCCTTCCCGGGGCCTGACCCCCTGCGAAGTCTGGGGGTGGGGGGAAATGGACCCAGGGACACTCAGCCGCTGCCGGCTCCTAGGCTCCAGCAGCAGCTCCCAGCTGCCCCCAGGTCCCCACCTCTACTCTCCCCACCCCCCCTGCCCACTCCCACCGAGGGCCGCGGCTCCTGGTTGTCCGTGCCGCTGCGAGGCCTGCACCTCACAGGGCTGAAGTCCAAAGTTCAGTGCCTTCGCTAAGCACACGGATAAATATGAACCTTGGAGAATTTCCCCAGCTCCAATGTAAACAGCAGGCAGGGGCCTGATTCACTGGCCGCTGGGGCCAGGATTGGGGGGTGGGGGTGCCCACAAGGCTTGACTGGTGGGGTTTGGGGGGGCGTGGGTGCCAGGAGCCCTGGGCTCGTGGCTGCTGCCCGGCGAGCACCAAGCAGCCCTGTGCAGTGGGGGAGGCGGCGGCAGCCGGCTCGGTGGCCCTGGGCCGCGTGGCCCGGTGGTGGCAGTGGCGGCGGCAGAGGAGCCATGGTTTCTAAGCTGAGCCAGCTGCAGACGGAGCTCCTGGCGGCCTTGCTCGAGTCGGGCCTGAGCAAAGAGGCGTTAATCCAGGCCTTGGGTGAGCCGGGACCCTACCTGGTGGCTAGCGAGGCCCCCCTGGACAAGGGGGAGCTGGCCGAAGCGCCCAATGGGCTCGGTGAGACACGGGGCTCGGAGGAGGAGACGGACGATGATGGCGAGGACTTCACGCCGCCCATCCTCAAGGAACTGGAGAACCTGAGCCCCGAGGAGGCAGCCCACCAGAAGGCCGTGGTGGAGACCCTGCTGCAGTAAGTTACCCCGCCCCTAGCGCCTCCAACCTAGAGATCAGGAAGGGACCCCACAAGGGCTCAGGGTGCAGGTAGGGGGCTGATCCTGTACAGCGCCAGGTCCCGCTGCACCCCAGGGAGCTGCGAGATCCTGCAGCCCCGTGCATGTCGGGCTGTAAGCCTGGGTGCTGCCTCCAGGCAGGGAAGCCCCACTGAGGAGGGAGGGCTGGGCCTGGGCTACGGGGGGGGCTTTCCACCACGCTCACCTGAAGAAGCTGCAGCCTTGAGCGGGAGCTGCCCTGCTGCCTGGCAGGCCACAGCCCCCGAGGAAGCTGCCGGGTACCATGAGAGGGTCTGGGGTCTGGGCTCACCTGGCTGGCTCCCCATCTCCAGGAGAACTGACTGGGTCCCACAACCCGCGGCCTCCCCTCTCCTCAGCAGAGCTGACCTGGTTACTAATTACCCATGCACTTTATTATTTCTCTTTTGTTTTATAAATTTATAAAAGGCCCTGATAAGGCCTGTGATCATTAACTTGGAGAGACGTGGCCTAGAGAGGCCTGGGGCCAGCCAGCCTCCCATCTGATGGGGGAGGGGGTACAGGGTGGGGAGAAGGTGGCGTTGGGGTTGCAGGGACCACCCCGCTACCACTAGGATTCAGCCGGTGGCAAGGGGGCCTGGCCAAGGCCTTCTGGTTCTTGCAGTGGCACTATGGGGTTGGGGGGCTAAGGATTACTTCTCCCAGTGTTGAGATGGACCGTGGAGGAAGTAATTCAAGAGGCTGCTCCCAGGTGGGGAAACTGAGGCAAGGAGGCTGGAAGGAGCTTGACTGAGCTCACTGGAATCTACCCTGGGAGGGATTGACAGTCACGAGGGGGCCTGGGGCTGGTGGGGGATGGGAGGGGGTGTCAGAGGTCTTTTCTGTCCAAGGTCCTGATCCCTGCCGGGCTAGGGGTGGGGGGGAAGGTGGATCCCAGCCTTCCCAGAGGCCTCCGGGAGCTTCCTGGGGGCCTGGGAAGAGGGGGAGGGGAGCAGCAGGGCCCCCTGACTTGGCAGCAAGATGAGGGCAAAGGGCTCCCGCGCAGCAGGTAGGGGAGGGACAAAGAGCCAGGCATTGCCAGACCCAGGGCAAGGGCGCCTGGGGTGGGGTGGAGCTGGGCCTGCTTGTTCAGAGCCCCAGACAGGACCAGGGGGCTTTGGGACAAGAGGGTGGTGGTGGGACAGGGGGTACCCGGGGGTCTTTCTTACCTGGATGGTCGTGGCCTCTGGCTCAGCAGCCCCCTGCAGTGGGGCGCTGGGGCTGGAGGGGGAGGCTTGATCCACAGAGCCGGGGATGGAGAGCAGAGGTCAAAGTGCTCCCTGAGGACCAGCAGGGCCTAGACGCTGAGGGAGAGAGGGGGAGACAGGGCCCAAGAGACAGGTGTGATGGAGAGGAGAGCCAAGGAGGACTGAGGGGAGAAGGGGCCCAGGAGAGAAAGTGAGGCTGCCGGGCTCCCCTCCCAAGCAGTATGCGGGTTTTCCTGAATGCTAACAGCGTGCTGTTTACTTTCCATTTAAATTTGAGATGTTGCTATAAATTATCAACCAGATCCTGTTCCCGCAGGGTTTATAACTAACTACCTGGGTTACTTATTGTTCAGGTAACAAAGGGATCTGAAAACGCCCCACAGGATAAAAAGGGGGAGGCTGCCGGCTGGAGCCCCCAGAAGCCTGGGAGACCCCTGGGAAAGCCTGGGCCTAGGGGATATCAAAGCTGGAACCGGCAAGGAGAAACGGCTTCCTGAATTCCTCTGGGAGCTGCTTCCTTGGGAAGAGGCTGGGGCGGGGGGTTCCCGGATCCCAGGTCTCCCCGGATACCCCATGTTGGAGGCCACAACAGAAGCCTGACTTCTTTCCCCAGGCCTCACCGTTGGGCTCCTGACAAGTCTCTTTCACCTCCTCCTGCCTCAGTTTCCCTACCTAGACAACAAATAGAATCCCGACTCCCTGTTCTGGCTCTGTGCTTCTGGTCCAACTCTGACTTTTCCTTGCGTGTCTCCCTCTCTCCTTCTCCTTAGCTTCTGCTCCTCCTCGCCTGGGCCTTCTTTTCCTGTGTCTCCCCAGGGCAGGGTCTCCTCCGGCACCTTGTCTACACCCCCTCTTCCTCCCTGCCAGCCCGCCTCGGGCAGCACTCGCTTCAATCCCTGATGGGTTAGTGTCTGCACCAGCTCGTGTTCTACCAGGGGCAGAGAGAACAGTACCTCCCCCAGGACCAGGCCTCACGCTCCTAACAGGGGCTGGCGTACAACGATGAACACACAGGTGGCTGAGCTTCTCCAGCTGGCCAGGGCCCAGGAGAGTGAGGCGTGGCCCCAAGGAGTTACCGAGAGCCAGGGTTCCTCCTTGCGTGTCCTCCCAGCTCCTTCCTGGCACTAGGCAACTTAGGACTCAGCCATGGAACTCTCTGGCCCTTTTAGCAAGGGACACTTGGACCCAGCAAGATGGTAAGCAGGGCAGGACAGAAGAGCCACCCGCCTGGTGGCTCAACTCCCGGTCCTGCCCACTCTACAAGATGGAGTTGACAATGTATCCCACCGGGTCCAGTAGGAGGCTGGGGGCGGGGGAGAATGCACAACCCACACTCTTGTTTTAGAGGGGTAATTGAGAGGCACGTTCAATGCCCAAGGTGACTTTCAAAGCAGGAAGCCAGTCTAGGACTTGGGGCTGAGTCCTCCTACCCTACACTGTACACAGAGGGAGGCTCTGTGTCTGCCTGTGGCAGGTGTGCCTGGCCCCTCCTTGACCTTGCTTTTGCTGTACACCTTGACTGTGAGCTCAACAGAAGGACTGCCTCAGACATGTGAAACATCGCAGGCCCATTTCACAGCTGAGGAAACTGAGGCAGGTGGAAGTTGGGCAGCTTCCTGAGGCTATTTGGATGCTGAGTGGGCAGAGCTGGAGTCCAAGCTTGGATCTGAATGCTCACAATGAGAATTTGGCTACTCCCAGGCTGAGCATCCCAGTTGCACAACCTTGGGTGTCCTGAGAACCAAGGAGTCACAGACCAAAAGGCCTAAAGCCTTGGACATGAGGTTGACCTTTGAGTAGGTGAGGGGAGGAAATACAGGCAGAGCTTCACCTCTGGCTTTGCAAGGAGTAAGGGGTCCCCAGGATTGCATAGTCAATGACAACAGTGAAGGTGATGGGAACTGAACCCCCGTGGCATACCAGGCCCTACTCAAAGTTCTCTGTGTGTGAACCCCATACCATCCTCCCAGGGACCGGTGGCAGGGGAGGGGTTGGCATGAGTTTGCCCTGGGTTACAGAGCAGATGTGACCTGGGCGCATACCTACAGGGGCTGGGGCACCAACTGTGACAGCAGGGGACACCAGAGACCTGGCCCTAGTTCTGAGCTGGGGAAGCTGACCTGCAAAAGGAGTTGGGTTCTTGGAGGCAGGGGAAGGCAAAGGAAGAAAGAGAGAGAGAGAATGAACGAGATGGATAGCGGCAGATGGGAAATCTTCAGTCTGAGCCTGGAGGCCCTGCTGGAATAGGCAGCCCAGAGGGTGGTGGCGGAAGTGGGGAGGAGGGAGGCAGCTGGGCAGCCGCTCTGCCATCAGATAAGTGTGTTTGCTTGGAGAGGCGTCAGGCTGGACTTTGTACTGCCCTTCCCTCCTGGCTCATTTGTACCCATAGAAGAGGAGGGGTGGGGGAGCCAGGGCCCTCAGATCCCCTGGAGTCCAGAAGCCAGGGAGAGGATTCAGGGCGGGTGCCACCTTGGACAAGCACCGTCACCTTTGAGAGCCTCCATTTTGTCATCTATGAAATGGGTGTGGGGGTGACACCTAGTTCCTGTGGTTCCTTTAGGATTTAAATGGCCCCCAGCACAGGGTCCAGCCCAGAGTGGACCTGCAGGAAGCAGGCTTTCAATTATACATGCCGGGGACCCAGCTATCTCAAATGCTGACCCGCTGAAAGGCACCTGTCCCCATTTTCTCCCCATCCTTGACTTTCTGGAAATGGCTGATGATTCAGGAGAAAGGAACCAGAAAGTCGGTGCTGGCACACGGAGGACTCCATGCCTTCATGCCTGGGACGGGCGTTGGCAGGGCAGTCAGAAATGGGTGACCTCTGGGATGCTGAGGGCTGGGTGTCGGGGTTTCCAGCTGGCATCTAAGCATTGTGTCTGCTGGGTTTGAATCCTGTGGGATGCAGGCAACCACAGCTAAACAGTTGCACCTGCACTGTCCCCTAAGAACAGCATCACAGCAGTTTGCAGGATGTTGATATCACAGGAGCTGCCGGGTATCAGCAGGTGTCTGCCAGTCAGGTGACTGGAAGTACTCGGGACCACATCCACAGGCTACACATACACACTAAGCCACTGATTGCAAGGGGCCTGTCATCCACTGAGTCTGGTATCTGCAGGTGGCACTGGGACCCAGTCCCTGTGCATACAAAAGGCATCCTGCATGCAGAGATGGTGGGTCCTTCCCTAGAAGTACTTCATGTGCAAGAGCACAGTCCCCTCACCTCGTCCCCAGCCATCTGCTGTTGATCTATCCATTGGCCATCTACCCACCTGTCCATCTGTCCAGCTGTTCACCCACCCATGCCACGTGTACACACTCACTCATTCACATATACACCAATGGTCAACTTGAGGTCAGGAGGTCCATCTTGGATGCTGGGAACCAGACAGTTCCTGCCTACAGGCGTCTACTCCCAGTCCCTTACAGGGGCTAACACAGCCAGGTGGGACAAGGGGAGTAACTTTAAAGAGGCCCCAAAGGGGAGGACCCACACTCTACCCCGACATGGCCTGTGAGCATCAGCAGGCAGCCCAGCTCTGTGTGTCCATGCACCTCTCAAGTCTCTGTCCCCAGGTCTCTGTCTCCATGTCCCTGTGTCACTGAGTGACACGAGTAACAACACCTCCCTGTCTCTAAGGCCAAGGGTAGGTTCCCTGATAGCTTGCTTTCATAGTCTTTAGCCCCAGGGCTGGCAAGAGCTCCAGCACCCAGAGCCCTAACCCCACCTAAAGGGCTAACAGAGTCCCCTGACACCCCCTGCTGAGCAAACACTGTTCTTGCCTTCGGCCCAGGGAGGACCCATGGCGCGTGGCCAAGATGGTCAAGTCCTACCTGCAGCAGCACAACATCCCGCAGCGGGAGGTGGTCGACACCACCGGCCTCAACCAGTCCCACTTGTCCCAGCACCTCAACAAGGGCACCCCCATGAAGACACAGAAGCGAGCGGCCCTGTACACCTGGTACGTCCGCAAGCAGCGAGAGGTGGCCCAGCGTAAGTAACTGCTCCAGCTGTGTCTCCCCTGGCAGGACCCAGAATGTGCCCTACTCAGAAGATGGAGCAGGAGGCTTCTCCACTTCATCCATCCATCCATCCATCTTAGAGCTCCATCCATCCACCCATCCATCCATCCATCCATCCATCCATCCATCCATCCATTCATCCATCTTAGTGCTCCATCCACCCACCCACCCATCCATCCGCCCATCCGCCCATCTGCCCATCTGCCCATCCACCCGCCCATCTATCCATCCATCCATCCATCCATTCATCCATCCACGCATCCAACCCATCCATTTGTCCATCTGTCCATACATACATACAGTCACCCACCCACCCATGCATTCATATATCCATCCAGTAATACACCTCCACAGATAGGAAATGGGAGGAAGAGGAGAGGTAAGAGATATAGATCCAGAGAGAGAGAGAGAGAAAGAGAGAAAGTGAGAGAGAGAGGTGGAGGGGGGGACCTTCTAGTGTTTCACTTCCAAAATGCCCACAATATCCAGGGCTGAGTCAGGTCAAAGCCAGGAACAGGATGCTCAATCCAGGTTTCCCATGTGGGCGGCAGAGACCTAGTGACAGGAGCCATCACACTTGTGGTTGGTCCAGCTCTCTGCTAATGGTCTGGAAAAGCAGTGGAGGAGGGTGCAAGTGCTTTGGCCCCTGTATCAATATGGGAAATCCAGAAGAAGCTCCAGACTTCATTCAAGTGTCTTCACCTGCCCATGAACGAACATTCTCTGCTGCAGGGCCCCACCTGGTGTGGACACGACACATGAGTCACCATAGCCCTGTAAGGCTTCTTTGTTGACCAAGCTTTTCGGGTTGGCCTGGTTATTGATGGCCTTAGCTGGGCAATTTGATTTTCATATTTTAACATTTATTTTTAACTTTTATTGCAAAATCAGATACACAGAGAGGAGGAGAGACAGAGAGGAAGATCTTCCCTTTGATGATTCACTCCCCAGGTGACTGCAATGGCTGGCGCTGTGCCAATCCAGAGCCAGGAACCAGGAACCTCCAGGTCTCCCACAGGGTCCCAAGGCTTTGGGCCATCCTTGACTGCTTTCCCAGGCCACAAGCAGGGAGATGGATGGGAAAGTGGAGCAGTTGGGATATGAACCAGCGCCTATATGGGATCCCAGCAGTTGCAAGGCAAGGACTTCAGCTGCTAGGTTACTGTGCCAGGCCTATGATTTGATTTTTAAAATTATTGGAGGTTTAGGGACCAAATTCTAATGTCTTGGGTCCAGATCCCTGCTCGCTCAGGGCCACTCTGGGCCAGGGGGGAGGTTAGGCAGAAGGCACATGGCCAATTGGGAGTCCCAGTGGGTGGGTGCTGAAGCCATGGATGCTGGGAGTATTGGAATCTGGGCCATCTGGGCTTCTAGAAACTTCTCCCTGGGATACTTGTGTCCACTCTGGCTTCTGGCATTCAGATGGCAGAAACCATCTCCCTCCCCTCCTTGTCCCACTTCTTTAGTGGCCTGCTTAGGGACAGTCTGAGAAACAAGTTTCCAAAAAAAAGTGTAAAGACCTGGAGAGGGCTCTTCCTGCCTGGCTCACACTTGCATTTGAACCCTGATTTCTGAGTCTGGGAGGTTGATGATGGCTTTCAATGTCCTGAGAAGGTGGCTCTCATTTCTGCTCTTCTGTGAGACCCTGGCAAAGCAGGTGATCCTCCCTGAGCCCCAGCTTCCTTGGCTGTGAAGTGGGGACAGCTAGGCTGCCGATCTGAATAAATGCTAACACTTACCCACAGCCTTGCATGGAGAAGGGCTCAGCCATCCCATCCTGGCTTGGGAGAAACTGTGCAGGTGTTGATTGGTGATGTCTGTCTTAGTCACAGGTTAAGACAGGTAGTGGCAATGTCAGTACTGGATCTGAGTTTCGGTTCCAGACTCCTCTCAACAACACCTGGGAAGATGAAGAAGGCAGGGCCTGGTCAGGGGTGCGGATATGGGGAGGAGGGCGCGGCTTGTGCCCCCACCCTCCCTAATGGCTTACTGTGCCTCCAGAGTTCACCCATGCAGGGCAGGGAGGGCTGATTGAGGAGCCCACGGGCGATGAGCTGCCCACCAAGAAGGGGCGGAGGAACCGTTTCAAGTGGGGTCCTGCGTCGCAGCAGATTCTGTTCCAGGCCTACGAACGGCAGAAGAACCCCAGCAAGGAGGAGCGGGAGACACTGGTGGAGGAGTGTAACAGGTGGGCAGGACTGGGCTGGTGCAGGGCTGGGGAGAGAGAAACAAAGGGACCTTGGCAGCACCTGTCTGGTCCAGGGAGTTGACAGGGCTCAGCTGCTATTCAAGGCTTGAGCCTAAGTCCATCCCTAGCATCCCACACCCATCCCAGCAACCCTTCAGTGGCTGCTTATGTCATGTCATCCCCTCTGCAACCCTATGGCTGGTCTGCCCACTTTCTGAATGGATAGACTGAGGTGGTCAGAGAGGCCAGGACACTCGTCCACTAAGGTCACATAGCAGAGCTGACCTTGGAACCTAGATGTGCCAGCTTGAAACCTCCTTGGGTCCCTCCCAACCCGAGGCAGCTCTCTGAGTCTGGCGTGGAGGTTCATTAGTGGCTGTCTCTGCAGGGCGGAGTGCATCCAGAGGGGGGTGTCGCCCTCACAGGCCCAGGGGCTGGGCTCCAACCTCGTCACGGAGGTACGGGTCTACAACTGGTTTGCCAACCGGCGCAAGGAAGAAGCTTTTCGGCATAAGCTGGCCATGGACACGTACAGTGGGCCGCCACCGCCAGGGCCAGGGCCAGGGCCTGGGCCGGGGCCAGCGCTGCCTGCCCACAGCTCCCCGGGCCTGCCCCCACCTGCACTCTCCCCCAGCAAGGTCCACGGTGAGTGCAATGTGGGCAGCTGGCTGCTTGGGTAGAGGGTGGGAGAGCTGGGGAGGTCGGCCCCAGACCCCATAGCACTTCTGTTTGGTTTCCCTCCACTCCCTGTTCCTGTCAGCTCCATCTTACTTCACCAGTCATTCCATCCATTCTGCTTTCCTCTCTAGCCCACCCACTCCATCCAGCCTTCCTTCCTTCTCCATATGCATTCTGTTCACTTTCTTCCATATATTTCATTCCATCAACTCTTTTATCAAACCTCTTTACCCACTCCACTGTTTAAATCTACTCCTTATCACCCCACTCCATCCATCCCCATTCTTCTGTATCACCTCACTCCATTCCATTCTATTTTGTTGCCTTCACACCACTCACCTCCACTGCACCCATGGCACTTAACTCCATTGGAGACCCAATCACTCCATCTCTTCCAACGCACCTCGGTCCATCTGTCCATTCCATTCACACCACTCTGTCCTTTCTACTCAACCATGCCTCTGTATCTGCACTGTTCACTCCACTCTACTCCATTTCATTAAATTTACCCTAACTTCATATGGGTTATTTCAATTCAATTCATTCATTTCAGATCACATCAATTCATTTATGTTCAACTCATTATAATACCATTTATTTCATTTTAGTCTGGTACAGTTGAATCAAACCCATTTCCATTCAACCCATTCAGCTTAACTACATGTAATTCAATAAAAATTCAGTTAATTTTGCATAGCTCAGTTCAATTGAATCTAATTCAATGTAATCCAGCTCAACTCAATCAAGCTCGATTCATTTCAAGCAGAGTCTGTTCAACTCATTCCAGCTCAGCCGATTCCACTCACTTCATCTCTTTGTTTCATGAGCTTCGCTTTGGTCCGGTTCCATTGTCTCCATGAAGTACCGACAGCACTTGCTTTCCAGGAGTTGACAGCAGCCAGCACAGGGCTCAGCACAAGCTGGGTGCCCAAGCAAAGCTTCAAGGCTGTATGAGGGCATGGGGCAGGTGGTCTGAGCAGACCCATGAGGTTTGGAGTGCGGTGGGCGTTGGGGGGCGGGGAGGGTGCTGAGTCCTGCCCCTGCTCTCTGTTCCCCAGGCGTGCGCTACGGACAGCCTGCAACTAGTGAGGCTGCAGAGGTTCCTTCTAGCAGTGGGGCGCCCCTGGTGACCGTGTCTACACCCCTGCACCAAGTGTCCCCCACAGGCCTGGAGCCCAGCCACAGCCTGCTGAGCACCGAAGCTAAGCTCGTGAGTTGGTGCCTACCTGTAGGGAGAGACTTCCCCTCTGTTTTCCTTGGCTGGGGAGTTGGGAAGAAGTGTCCCAGAGCAGCCTCCAGAAAGGCTGTGTGTGGGCTGCCCTGACGCAGGCTGGCTTCCGCTCGCAGGTCTCAGCAGCCGGGGGCCCCCTACCACCTGTCAGCACCCTGACAGCATTGCACAGCCTGGAGCAGACGTCCCCAGGCCTCGGCCAGCAGCCCCAGAACCTCATCATGGCTTCCCTGCCCGGGGTCATGACCATAGGGCCTGGGGAGCCTGCCTCCCTAGGCCCCACGTTCACCAACACCGGTGCCTCCACCCTGGTCATTGGTAAGCAGTGGGGGCATTGGGGAGGGGATGGGCAGCTCTTGCCAAGCCAGGAGCCGGGGGAAGCCACTGGGCTTCAATTACACATTCAGAGCCCCTGTCCTGGGTCTTGCCCCAAGTCATATCCTGAAAAGAGAGCTGAGTGTGCAGGCAACAAGCAGGCACAGGAATCCTGTGAAGGGCTGGGGTTCCAGGCCTCCCACAGGATGGAGAATCACAGATGCCACCTGCCCCCTGCCGTATGCTTAAACAGGCTCTGATCCAACGGCAGTGCTAAGTAACTGGCTTAAGGCTTCCTGGTTCAGGAATAATGGCAACACAAAAGCTTGCTCATGCTCAGTACAGATACAAGTTATTTCCCCGAATGCATATGGAGCCCAGAATGAGGGGGAGAGTGAAAAAGTTTGCAGGAAAACAGAGCAGGGCATGAACATTTGTGCTTTCTTGGTCTGTTTTTAAACCTAGAAAATGCTGTGTGAATGTATCCTATCGCTCAGTGTTAAACACAGATAGGGAGCTGCCGAGAGACAGGAACAGCCTGAAGTTCTGGGGAACGCAGTTTGACCACCCTGAATGCAGTCAGTCACTGGCCACGCCTCCTAGCCAGCCTGGGGAGGAGCTACAGGCTCAATAAAGGGGTGTGACTGGCCAGTGCCACTGACTGATCAGTGCTGGGCTGTTTTTGGATTGTTCTGTCCCCTTCTATCAACCCCTGGGTTCTGGCAGGATGGGGTGGTGCCTGCCAATGGGGCGGCTGGAAGACCCAGCTGACTCCCAGCTCTCTTGTTGCAGGCCTGGCCTCCACACAGGCGCAGAGTGTGCCGGTCATCAACAGCATGGGCAGCAGCCTGACCACCCTGCAGCCAGTACAGTTCTCCCAGCCGCTGCACCCTTCCTACCAGCAGCCACTCATGCCACCAGTGCAGAGCCACGTGGCCCAGAGTCCCTTCATGGCCACCATGGCCCAGCTGCAGAGTCCCCACGGTGAGTGCCTCTTGGCAGGTTTCAGGTGCAGCCACACGGAGTCTCACATGGAATGCCACAGCAGCATGCATATAGTGGTGCTGCCGCCCTGCCCTTCACTTACACACCCCTGCCCACAGCACCTGTGCCATATACAGGGTCTAGAATGCACAGGTGCTTAGTACACAGCTCCTGGGCCAAGTGCAGCAGCTGTGCACCTGTTCCTTCTGTCGTCCCCAGGTGACAGGCGCTAGAGTTGTTTCTTGGCCCCGCTCAGGCTCCAGCCCCAGCTGAGCAGGTCCCAGTAGTGGGGGACAGGGCTCACACCCGTTACTCAGCCGCTGCCCTGGACACCCTCCCACATCCCACCCAGCAGGGCCATCCAGCACGCCCCACGCTCCCCCTCCCCTGAGCGCCTGGTGTTTTGAGAGAGGGCTCCAGGCCGGGCCAGGGTGCCATGTCTGTGTCTTTCTCTCTCCTTATGGCTCTCCTGGGTGGGCAGCCCTCTACAGCCACAAGCCTGAGGTGGCCCAGTACACTCACACGGGGCTACTTCCCCAGACCATGCTCATCACGGATACCACCAACCTGAGCGCCCTGGCCAGCCTCACACCCACCAAGCAGGTAAGGCCCACGCCTGCCCAGCCCCGCCTTGGTCCCGGGTCCCAGTCCCCGCCGTGCCGAGGGCTCACGCCTGGAAGCTGCTCTGTTCCCCTAGGTCTTCACCTCTGACACAGAGGCCTCTAGTGAGTCTGGGTTGCATGCTCCGGCGTCCCCGGCCACCACCATTCACATCCCCAGCCAGGACCCTGCTGGCATTCAGCACCTGCAGCCCACCCACCGGCTCAGCACCAGCCCCACAGGTGAGCAGCCCTGGCCTCACCTGCCTCTTTGCTGTCCCCGGGGGTGGGCAGTGGGTAAGCAGGTGAGCACGAGCAACAGGGTCGGGGGGGAAGTGCGCCCAGCTCCGTGGGTGCAGCCTGTCTCGCAGGAGCTGCTCACTGACCAGAGTGAGGAAAAAGATGAAGCAATGCAGAGGCAGCAGGTGGAGAAAAGGTGGGAAGGCAAGTGGGGCTCATCGTGGCCCACAGGGACTCCTGGTGTCGGCTCTGCCCCCAGCTTGACACTTTCTGCCCGAGTTGCCACTGACATCAGGAGAAACTCCCCCAAAGCACTGGGGTGTGGGCTTCCAGCACACCACAGCCACTCAACCCACTCCTGTCCACACCCTGAGGGATACTAGGGGCCCTAAGCTTGCAAACCGCGAGGTGCAGGTAGAGAACGGGTGCTTTTGTGCTGCCGGGCCTGCAGCGACCGCTGCAGACTGACCTTAGGTCACTTGTCCTCTGGGAACCCTCAGGGTCCCCTAGTCAGCCCTGGTGGCTGTAGTGATAGCTGAGGGAACCCCCTGCCCCAGCTCCATGCTTTACTGGGGGGCAGAGCCAGGACTGAACAAGGGGCCAAGCAAGCATTGGTGTTTGCTCTTAAGGTCCTCACCTGCTTGGGGAAGGCCGACCCCCACCATCCGGTGTCACCTCCTTCTTGGGGCAGGCACCCAGCCTGGCAACCCCAGTCCCTGTGCTCGCATCCGAATGTTCTAATGGCAGCTTCTGCTTCTGAGCCCAGCTTCCTGCCAAGTCCCCCTTGGGTCCCTGTCACTCCCATGGGAGACCTCCAGTCACTGTGGGCATTTGGAGGGAGTGAACCAGCAGACACGAACTACCAGCTTAAAATAAACAGGAAGGCTAGAGAGGACAGGAGCCAACCGCAAGAGCTTACTGTATCTGCAGAATACCTTATGAGTAATTCAAACCTCCAAGATCTGGGTTGGGTTCAGCCCAGCTGGTGCACAAGGCCACCACCCCACACCACACGCCTTCTTCTGGGGCGGCCCAGCGCCTGGCTTGGGGGGTCCCCCTTGAAGACTAGAGGGTAGAGGTGTGGCCTTATGGTTCCTGGTATCTGCTGGCTCTGGGATGTGGCATGTGGCCCTGTCTGCCACCCTGCAGGCAGGCAGGGAGAACCGAGTGGGCCTGGTGGAGCCCACACAGTGTCCTCTCCCTCTGCAGTGTCCTCCAGCAGCCTGGTGCTGTATCAGAGTTCTGACTCCACCAACGGCCACAGCCACCTGCTGCCCTCCAACCATGGCGTCATCGAGACCTTCATCTCCACGCAGATGGCTTCCTCCTCCCAGTAACCATGGCAACTGCCTCCCAGCGGCTGAGCCCTGGGACAGCACTGCCTGCTTAGGGGGCCGTACAAAGGCTGCGGCCCGCATGGCTTGCAGGGACCTCTGAACCTGTCGCCCTTCTGCTGCTCCAGGAACCTGGGCCTTGGTCCCACCTTGCTCGTCAGCCATCCATCCCACAGGAGGGCCCGGAGGCACCCTAACCCGACAGCTGCTTCAGCTGAACCTGAGGGGGCTACTGGGAGCTGAGCTCATTTCCTGGCACGAGGTGGAGCTGCCGTCACTGCCTCTGTGATGCCATCGCGCTACGTGTAACACAAGGGGACTGCCACCCCCCACACCCTGTCCCCTTCTCAGGACACAAACCCAGGCAGCTGCGACCGCTGAGCTCCGAGGCTCCAGGTCATCGTGGCCACATCCTGTCACCCGTGCAACCTACCAGGCCACTCCACGCCACCCCGGCCCCATCTGTAGCCACTGCTGTCACAGGCTCACAGAGGTATTTTGCCCGAGTGGCGACTGTGCAGCAGCTCAAGCTGACAGAGCAGGAAGCAGGATTCTCCCAGCCTCCCTCAAGCCCTCTCCTAGGCGCCAGGACCTGCAAGTTGCCCAGACGTTCATTCTCGCCTGAACATCAGGTCTACAAGTGCTAGCCTAGTGTGTGACCTGGGAGGGGAAGCCCATGTCATGGGCCAGAAGTTGTCCTTGCTCCTGCAGAAGCCAAGACCACATCCTGGGGCAGCAAAGCATGACCAGCTGAGAGCTAAGCGGTGACAGCCATGCACAGGAGCGATGCTCAGAGCTGTGAGCTGGCTGGGCTAGTGCCTGGGCCACAGGCTCAAGGCTGAGGTCCTGAACGGCTCCAGGAGGGACACAGCAGGTGCATGGGGGCCGGAAGACGCATGGACTCACTTCCATGGGCCTGCTGCCAAGAGCAGGGAGGGTCTTCCCTGGATGGCTGAGGGGGCCTGGGAGAACCAGAACCTCCTGCAGCTTGTAGCCAGCTAAGGGAGAGCCTGTATGTTTATTTAACTTTTAGTAAAGCCAAAGAGAAATGGACTGGAAACGTCTGGCTTGACCACAAGTTGCTCAGACGGGAATGGGCAGCTCAGGGGATCCTGCGCACCTGCAGGCTTCCCTTGTTACTGAGGCAAGGGTGGAGGGAGGTGTAATGGGGGTGGGGAGACAAGGAGTTTTCTCTCTGCCTCTGCTCGTTCCAGCAGAGCCCCTTTTGCTTTATGGGCCCCAGTTTCCCCCGCCTCACGTAGCTGCTGCTGGACAGGGAGACAATATCGAGGCTCGGTCCCTCACAATGTATTTCCCATGCAGCTGGCCGAGTGCAGCTGCCCACATGTGTAAACTTACAAAACACAAAGTTAGACCAATGGGCACAACTTCCTGCTTTCCCAGCCTGGTTCTGTGGTGGCTACGGGGATCCCTTCTCTCCCAGCCTGCGTGGGCTGGGGAAGAGAGGCTCAATTTCCTTGCCCACCTCGGAGACCACTGGGAGATACTAGCCATTTGCCACCAGCCCTGAGCCTTGGAACCGTGGAATGTTCTGGTACTGGGTCTGCCTTGGCCCTTGGAGGGAGGTAAGGCTAGGCTGTCTCACCCTGAAGCCACTCTTCTGCCCCAACCCCTGGGTGGGCTCCAGTCATGATCAAGGTCTCGTGGGCCAGTCTAGCCTTGCCAGCCAAGTCCCTGACCTTGGAGAGGCGGGCATGAAAATGTCCCACCTCCAGGGTGCCTGTCCTCAGTGCTGTGGGGCCCTGTGCCCGGAGACTGGGTCAGTGTGCTGGCGCGGCCTCTGGGCTTGCTGTTGGTGATGGGGGAGCAGTCTCATGGGCCTTCCTCACCTTTTTCTTCCTTTTCTTCTTCTTGGTCCCCAAGGCTGCATGGGCCCCGTTGGCCTTGCCCAGCCCTTCTTCCTGCTTCTGGACCGTGGCCCCGGTGGTAGCAGTGGTCACAGCTGAGTCAACATCAGCCACCTTCTGGGCTTTCCTTTTCAACTTTTTCTTCTTCTTTTTCTTCCTGGTCTCCTCCTCCTGCTGGACGGGGCTGTGGATGGCTGACTCCTGCAGGATGTCAGAGGCGGACACGGCGGCCTCCTGGCACCGTTGCCATTCTTCGTCACTGTCCTCGCTGCTGCTACAAGGGAAGAGTGGCCAGGGTTAGCTAGAGGCAGGCGCCCATGGCTGCTCCTGGTTTGTTCCAGGCAGCTGGTGGGGGGTGGGGCTGGGGAGGCAGGCAGAGAGCAGAGGCTGGCCTCATCAGGGACCCACATCCTCTGACCCTCAGGATGGCACCTGTAAAGTGGGTACCTTGCCGGGGCAGGGTTCATGACAATCCTGGGGGGACAGGCACGGCAAGGTGGTGTCCAGCCCAGCATGGAGGGCCATGGAGTACTAAGGGCACAGGGCCAGCAGCAGCATTCTGCCCCCCACGCACTGTCACCTTCCTCCAGCACCCCCAGCTTCTCCTAGCCCGGCCAGTGAGGAAGGCTGCGCGTGCACGCACGCTTTCACCTGGAGCTTGGGGGCTGTCGTTTCCTGCGGGGTTGGAGTTCAGCTGCCTTTCCAGAGTCTCCAGGGATGGACGTGAAGAAGAGGCGGAAGCCTAGGAGTCAAGCGGGCAGAGTCAGGCCTGTCACATGTCAGGTGCCCTGCTCCCCCGGAGGGTTCTGCCACCCTCCATCCTGTACCCTCACAGGCTGAGGCCTGGCTGGGAGGGAGCCTTCAGGCTCCTGGAAGCCAGCAGAGGGTTCTCCCACCCCAAGTTCGCAAGGGCCCTGGGAGGGCGATGCTCAGATATTTGGGCGGCTGAGGGAGTAGGGACGGTAAGCCTCAGGCCTGCAGCTGTGTGCCCCATCTCTCCCCTGCCTGGGCAGAGCTGACAAGGAAGGGAACTGCATCAGGATCTAAGGAATGACAAACTGATTTTTATTGGTTTGAAAACTTTTATTTATCAGAGAGGCGGAGAGACAGACATCCACAGAGAGAAGTTCTACCATCTGGTTCACCCCCCAAATGCCCACACTGGCCCAGCCCGATGCTGGGAGCAGGCAGCTCCCTCCAGGTCTCTGGCATGGCTGGCAGGGGTCCAGCAATGTGAACCACCCCTCCGCTGTCCCCCAGGGCGTGCACTACGGGAAGGTCGGTGCCCGGGGAAAAAGCTGGCTCTGAAGCTATGGTCTGGGACACGGATACCACCCGCCCTGCCATGGCCGCTGGGACACAGACGTGAGCACTCACCGTCGTCCTCCGGGGCCTCTCTCTGCACTGTGGTCTTTCTCGGCTCCCTCACGACCTCAGCGATGCTAATGGAGCTAGGAGGAGAGGAGAGGCTGGCGTATAGCACAGCGGGAGGCCGGGCAGTCCAGGACCGTGCCCTGACCTCACACAGTGGTTCAAAGCTGGCCAGAAGGTGCACCTGGCAACTTCCAGAAACGTTCCTGGTCCTTGTAAGCAGTGGTGTGAGCGCCGCTAACACCTGCAGGGGCCAGGGGTGCTGGCAGCCCTGAGATGTGAGACCAACACCTCCCCAGCCAGCACCAAGAACCAGCAGGTGGAAACCGCCAACGGCAGCAACAAGGGGAAGCCCTGATCCAACAGGAGGGCCAACCAGGCACCACGTCCATCTCTGGTGCCAGGGAGGACCAGCTCATGGTACGGAGGCCGTGGTCACTCTGAAGTCAGCCTGCCTCGGCTGCACACTGCTGCCCTCCCCGAATGCCTGAAGTGTCCCAGGCAAGGCCACGGGGACTCTGAACAGCACTTGTCCTTCAGTGCAGCCAGTCTCAGAGCCTCATCTCCTCCCGCAAGGCTGTTCGGCCTTTGCCAGTCTGGAATGTGGAGCTGCGCTCACTGTGGTTTTTATGCAGTGTCTCCCAGAGTGGTCAGGAGGCAGGGGTCTCTGTGCTGGACGCTTGGTGCTCAGGGCGGTGATGCTGGGAGGAGCTGGTGGCACCTGTAAGGGGCAGGGCCTCATACAAGGGGCCCACACAGGAACCCAGAGAGCTACACACAGTGGGTATACAGTGGGGTATGCTGGCTCCCCTCTCACCCTGCGAGCCCTCTTGCGTGGGCCCCTGCTGCGATGCCACATGTCACACTGTGACGGAGCTAAAGAACTCCCCGTCTCTTACACCGGCCCAGCCTCAGATGTTCTGCTGGAGCGACACAAAGTGGCTTAGTGCAAGCTCCAGTCTTCAGGGAGACAAACACTGGGCCCATCAAGAGGCCTTGGAGCCTCGAGCACATGGTCACGGACCTTGGCCTCCAAGGGCACATGGGTGTGCAGACTGCAATGCCATCTAAACCCCTCTGCTGGGGGGAGCTCCTTGTCCCAGAGCCACACGCTAGCTGTGCTGAGGTCTCGACTGTGGTCCCTACAACGCACACACAAAACCGTCATCTCCTGTGGAGATGCTATTAGGAAGGGGCATCATGTTCTGGGGGCAGAGCGCCCATGAGGGGGACCCACGCTCTTAGAAGCAGCTTCAGAGCTCGGAGAGGGTGGGCTCCCCACCTCCACCATGTGCTGGGGGGCGGTGCCTGCTGCTGGCAGGATGCCCCATTCTGTTCCAGTGACCCAGACCTTGTCTTGGCACCCTCATTGGCAATATTGATCCAAATGAATTCTTACCCATGCTGGGGAACTTGACATAAGAGAGCTGGCCCAGGACCGGCACCTGTAGGGCTCTGGAGATACACCAGCTCTGTCCTTCCTGGAGCTTGTGTAGTGGGTGGGAGTGTCTGCCGCCCAGGGGCCCTCCATCACCCTCCGGCTGGCAGGATGAGCCCGGGGCTGAGGGCACAGACAGGGAAGAGAGCAGGTGGCTCCTCCCTCCCCGTGACTGCGCAGGGCCGCCTGCTGGCTGGGATGTACACAAGGTGCCCGCAGGAATACATGGGCACTGGCAGCGCTCCACCCACACAGCCGGTAGACACCCAGGCGGGTGAGTGTGCGGATGAATTCCGCAGCCGCCTGCTGGGTTTCAGGCTGTGGGAACATTCCCACACCGCAGAGCTCCCCCGAAGGGAACCGGTGGCATAGGCTGAAGTGGCAAATAACAGGGTGCGTGCATGTTTGAATGAAAACACAGAATCTGGCTAGTGGTCCTGATGGCTGCAATGGTACCGGCCCCACCCCGTTGCCCAGGTCCCTCTGGCTGTGTTGCAGCCTGGCGGAGAGGTATGGAGCGTGCAGGAGAAGCCTGGGCCTCTGGGGCTCGTCCCGTGGGCATCCAGGAAGAGAAAAAGCGCATGCGTCCACTCACCTGTCCAGCAAGGCTCCCAGCTTCTTGGCCACGTGGGCTCGGAACTCGGGGGTGGTCTGCAGCTCGTTGCCATCTTGCTCATGCTCGTCTACCCGGTGCCTGCAGCACACGCATGGGCAGGCCTGATTTCCTGCTGCCCGGGAAGCCGTCTCCGCACACGGGAGCTGGGTGTGCCTTATCAGCTCTCATAGCCCCGCGCTCCCATGTAGCACTGATGGATGCACACACGTGCGTGCCCACACACACACACACACACACACACACACACACTTACAGACCGACAGTAACAGTACCTGAGGCTTGGCTGGGAGGCGGGTGGCTGGCTCTTTGCAGCACCTGTGGAAAAAAATCAAGCCGGGAATGGAGGGGCACAGTGTTGGAGGCGTTGCAGTGGCTGCAGCATAACGGGCACACGGCAGGCCAATTCACACAAGCCCGGGTGAGGCATGGCTGCGCGGCCCAGCGCTGGGCTTTTACTGCCCTCTGCCTTGAGGTGCAGGTGGACCAGCAGGCTGCCACTGGAAGCGAGTGTCTGGGTATTTTCTCTGTATGGTGGCCTGCCTCTGGGTCTGTTTTGTCTTTGTACCCCAGCTCCTAGCACAGGGTTGACTTGAAATCAATGTTATAACAGTGAAATCCAGCTACACCAGGGCACTCAGTAAGTGCGTGGGGAAATGAAATGGAAATTTAAAGGTTATTTTGGTACCAAAAATGTTTGAAGTCCATGCATGGACAAGAGCAAAGGGGTACTGAAACCGTGAGGAGAAAACCATTGTGGTGGTGTCAGAGGTGAGGGTGGGAGTGGGTAGGGCGAGGGACACATCTTGGGGAGCTGTGAGTTCTTTATACAAACAACCCTGCTTTGCCACCGCCTCCTCTGGGGCCTGCCTCGGAAAGACTGTTTTTTAAAAGATTTACTTTTATTGGAGGGACAGATCAGATTTATAGAGTGAACAGTGACAAACACAAAAATCTTTCATTTGCTAGCTGACTCCCCAAATGGCTGCAACAGCTGGAGCTGAGCTGGTCTGAGGCCAGGAGCCTCTTCCGGGTTTCCCACTCGGGTGCAGGGTCCCAAGGCCTTGGTCTGTCCTCTGCTGCTTTCCCGGGCCACAAGCAGGGAGCTGGATGGGAAGTGGAGCAGCTGGGACATGAACCAGCACCCATGTGGTATCCCAGGATTTGAATGGGGAGGATCAGCCAACTGAGCCCTTGCATCGGGCCCCTGAATGAGGTTTTAAATGGCACATACTGTTTCTCAAAGAAAACCAGTGTCAGTGAAACTTGGTGATCATGAAAATAAACGACTTGAGTAACACACAGCTCCACGCCTCCCACCTGGGGGAGGGATTTAAGTTCAGATCCTAAGACCTGAAACCCACCGCCAGGTCCCCCATAGTAACATGTCCCCTTGCTATCCCGTACCCGGGGCTCGCTGACCACCTCCTCAAGCCCATCCTCCAGCACCTCTGGAGTCAGACTGTAGCTGCTGGGACCCAAGGTGGGACAGTGCAGGACCCTCCATACGCTGGAGCTCACTGCCAGGCCCGCGATGCTGAGCCCAGTACAGTTACTGGCCACTGCTTGTGAGGCCAGGACAGCCAAAGCCTCAAGATCTCAGCCGCTAATGGACAAATCGTGGATACGGGCGCCCTCTGGTGCTCAAACAGCGACAACACACCAACACAGCAGGCTTGCAACAGACCTAGGCTTAGGTCGCCGCCTGGTGGTGAAATGGTGGAAGTGTCCACAGCTCAGAGAAAAGTGGAGCGCACAGCAGATGATGTAATGCTAACAGGGAACTATGGCCTCACGTAATGAACCAAGTAAGACGGGGGGCTGGCACCGAAGCGCAGTGGGTTAAGCCTCCAAATGCAACACGGATATCTCACATGAGCACAGGTTCGGGTCTTGGCTGCTCCGATTTGTAGCTCTTGGGAAAGCAGCAGAAGCTGGCCCCTGCATCTATTGGGGAACACCTAGATGGATTTCCAGGCTCCGGGCCCAGCTCTGGCTATTGTGGTCATGTGGGGAGTGAAATGTCTCTCCCATTCTCTTGTAACTCTGCCTGTAAAATATCTTAAAGATGCGACTCAAAATCACAATGCCATCTCATCACATTCCACTGCATAGCTATCAACAGGCTGACAGTTACAAAAGGGCTGGCAAGGAGGCAGAGAACACGGAACGCTCACACTGTTGTGGGGTCGGTCAGTGGTGCAGCACCCTAATCCTCCACCTGCAGTGCCAGCATTCCATATAAATGCGGGTTTGTGTCTCGGCTGCTCCACTTCTGACCCAGGTCCCTGCTTGTGGCCTGAGAAAGCAATAGAGGAATGGGCAAAAGCCTTGGGTCCCTGCACCCACGTGGGAGACCAGAAAGAAGCTCCCAGCCCAGCCCAGCTCTGGCCACCGTATTTGCCGAGTAAACCATCGGAGGGAAGATCTCTCTGCCCCTCCTTCTCTAATTCTGCCTTTCAAACAAAAACTTATTTTAAAAAATTTGATTTTTTTTTTCCTTCCCAAATTCTAGGCTTGGGTGTGTTCTACTACGAACGGGGGCATCTTGGCACAGTGGGGAGAGCAGGCTAGAGATGCGAATGCGAAGGCCGCGAGGAGGAACTGGTCACAGAACGCAAAGAGGGGATGGTCGCAGTGTCAGTCCAGTCAGGAGCGCTTCACCTGGCCCGGGGGGAGCCGCACAAACCCAAAGACCCCCGGGTGCCAGTGGTCTCGACTGACATAACAGGTCAGCCGCCTGCACCTTCAGTCAAGACCCCTGCCTCCCTGGACCCTTCCCTCGGCACCCCTGCCTCCTGGCAACCCCTTCCTCACCCCCGTATCTCGGACCCACACGCGTCCGTCGCCCAGCCTCCCCCAGCACAGTCTCCTACCGCCTCCTGTCGTCCCGGCCCCGGGCAGGCGCTGCTCCAGGCCCCAGGCCGGCCTCGCGGCCTCGCGGCACCGCGCCAGCTCCTCAGCATCGCTGCTGCTGCTGTCCGAATCGCTCATGGAGCCACTGGGCGCCGCCATCTTGAGAACCCGCGAAGGATTGTGGGAAAGCAACAGTATGCGCACTCTCCAGGGCAGTTCGGGGAGCGCATAGCATTGTGGGGATTGTAGTTTTCAGTCTCTCCTCGACTTCCTGGTGATGTTGAGTTGGGGCTTAGGGAGCGGTTGATAATTAGCTCATAGGGAATCCCGGGGGTAATTAGGTCACAGCTGAACCCTCATGAATGGCGGCAACGCTCTTCTGCACGAGAGAGCTTCGCCCTTTGCACCGTGTAAGACCCAGCACCTGGGGAATCAGGGCTAGGTTTTTCACGACTTGTTAGACCTGGCAGAACCTCCTTCCTGCTCTTTCCACTGTCCAGCATGCTTGTTTATGAGTCATCCAGTTTGCGGATCTGTGTTCTGGAAGCCTGAATGGAATGTGGAAGTAGCCTATTCTTCTGGAAAGAAGGCGTTTGCCATCACCTACGATGTGGGCTGGCATTGTAACGGTCATGAAGATGAGGGCTCCAAGAGTCTGACTGTCCCAAAGGCAACAACAACAACAACAACAACAACAACAACAACAACAACAACAACAAACCTGGGGATTGCAAAGATTCTTGTTGCCAAAGTGCCTGGAGCTGTGGAGAAGCAGTTATGAAGTGTGCTGTGTGAGATATGCTAAGCGAGTGAAAGTCATGTAGCACTTATACCTATGCTTGGAATGCTGGTTCAGGTCCCGGCTGCTCCACTTCCTATCCAGCTCCCTGCTAATGCACCTGGGAAAGTAGCAGAAGATGGCCCAAGTGCTTGCACCCCTAGAACCATGGATGGAAGTCCAGACTTCGAGCTTCATCCAGGCCCAGCTCGTGTGGCCATTTGGGGAGTGAACTGGTAGATGCAAGACCTCTCCCTCCCCTCCCATCTCTGACACTCTATCTTGCATAGAAATAGACATAAAATGTTTTAAAAAGAAAAAGGCAGCGCAAGGTTAAAGGAAACTTTTTATTGTTTGACGGGAATAAATTCGATCACATTGTTGTTCTCCCACTGTCTGTGGGGTATTAGGTGATGCAATGTGAGGGTTTCCGGCATAGAGGGAATTGTATTATTGTTATAGCTTATTTTCAGTCTTTAAGACTTTGTCTCTTTTTGTCTCAGTTTCCCTCCAGGGCTGAGAACCTCAAACAATCAAGCAACAACCACAAGGTGTTCTTTTGCTGGCAGCAGAAGCCAAGCAAAGAGCATCTCTGTGAGAGCCGAGGCTTTGGGGGTCCCAGCCCGCAAGAGCAAAGGGATCCAGCACCACCCCTTGCCTATGGCCAAGACTGTCAGGCAGGCAGGCAGGCAGGCAGGCAGCGACATGGGAAAAGCCTGGTAGTGGCAAGAAGTGGAGGCTTCCATGAGTGCCCACGAAGAAGGTGGTTGGTGTGGGATGGCTGTGGGCCCTGGCTCCCTGGCAGCAGGGCACCCCACATGGCTGGTCTGGGAAGCTGATCGGGCTTCCTCTGGTTGGCCCTCGAATCGGAAGTAGATGGGAAGTAGATGGGAAGTAGAGGAGCTGGCAGCTCTTGACTGAGTCCCCTAGTTTTTAGTTTTAGCTGCTGCGGAGGTTGAGCCTTGAACTTCACCGGGCTGGCTGCCATAGTGATTTGTGTGGACGAGAATCCCATGAGCACACAGGAGTCTGGCCACAGCCCGTTGGCGTATTCTGCGACTCCCAGCTCTCTGCTTTGCCTTGGCAGCCTTGGGTAACCGTTGATGAAGGTGATGAAGGCAGCCCCCAGGGCTGTCCCCAGCCGAGAAGTGGAAGGCGTAGTGGATGGGCAGAAACGCATACAGCCTACCCTCGGAGAAACTAGCTGTGGAGGTAGCGGACATGTGCTGATGGCTTCTGGGAGAGGGTGATCGTGTCGCTGTCCTGGATGTTGTAGTAGCCCATGTCCACCCAGTCCTGCAGGACCTGGCCCTCGTACTCCAGCTGCTGCTGCTTGCTCAGAAAACCCTGCCGGTCTTCAATCTGCTGCTTGAGGTTCAGCACGAAGCTTTTGGGGTGTACCGCGTAGGCCTGGCTGCTCCCGTTGGGGCTTTTCACGAAGACCTGGATTTCGGGGGAGACAGTCTCCAGCAGGCAGATGCGGGTGCTACAGAAGACGCCGTAGTCGGCCAGGGAGCAGTGGCTGCTGAGCACTTGGCGCTTGCAACCGCTCTCCTGGAAGGAGAGGCGCGGCAGGCCCACGAGGCCCTTGCTGCGGCGGATCCGCTCCTTCAGCTTCCTGATGGGCTCGTAGGGGTTCACCCAGAGGATCAGGTCTGCGTAACCCCACTGCTCCACCGTCACCTGCATGTCCTGGGCATACTGCGAGGGGGCAAGGGAGGGGAAGGATTATGGCCTCTGTGCAGTGCCTGTGCTGGCCACTTTCCCTACCCTGACTGCGGTCTATTCCTGTTAACATATTTTCTATGTGTGGATGTGTTGAAATTGGGGGAGAGAGAGAGAGCATAAGCTAAAGGGCCAAGGCCCGGGCCAGGCTGAAGTCAGGAGTTGGAAAGGTCATCTGGGTGTCCTACACGGATGGCAGGGACCCAAGGACTTGAGTCATCGCCAGCAGCTGCTTCTCAGAGTGTGCGTGAGCAGAACAGAGCCAGGGCAAGAACCAGATGCATTGATACTGGGTGTGGGCATCCTCAGCAGGGGCCATATTGGCTTAGTGCATCCAGGGACCAGTGCTGTGCAAATTGTGAGGTGTGATATCAATGAAATGCATTCTTATTGGGGGAGGCGGTGATACCGTGGCATAGTGGGTAAAGCTACCATCTGCAAGTGCCAACAGCCCATATGGATGCCAGCTCAAGTCCTGGCTGCTCCACTTGGGCCTACCTTCCTGCTGGGGAGGCAGTGGAGGATGATCAAAGTACCCAGGGCCCCTGCACCCATGTGGGAGACCTGGCCCAGCCCTGGCTGTTGCAAACATTTGGACAATGAACCAGCAGATGGAAGATTCATTCTCTCTCTCTTTAAAATAAAACAAATACATAAATATTTTGTTTTAAAGTACGATTTTTTGAGGGGGGTCAACGGTATGCCTTATCTTTTCTGATAAATCCCTTTAAAGATTATTTTTAATTTTAAAAGAATGCCTAGGAATTGTACCTGTTTTGGGGGCCCAGGATTATAGCTCAAACACATGGGGGCACTATGTGATGTTTAGAGCAGGGCTGATGGGCATACAGCCTTCTTTCTGTGTGGCAATTCTCTGGCCTGCTCTGTCTCAGAGGAGGTCGGATTCCAATCAAGCAACCTGTAAGACTCGGGATAACCCTTTGTGCACACACCGTGGTAGCCCCCTGTGCGGAACATTGCTGCTGATGCCCTGGCAGCTCTTTCTAGAAGTTTTTGTGCAACTTTGTTTCATGGATGTGCTTGCTTGCACCCTGGCTGGAGTCCTTGGGGGTCAGGGCCATGACCTATTTCTATATAATCTTTGTCTCTTAACCTCCACCCCTACCCCCATCAGCCAAGCCTGGGGCTGGCACTGAACAGCCAGTGGAGCTGCATTTCTGGGCTCGACGTGTGCAAAGAATGATGGGGGAATAGTGAACTGATTTGCCCAAGTTAGGCTACGTGGAAAAAGAAAAGAATTGGGAATTTAAATATAAGGAATTTGAGGCTCAGTGGACCCCAGAATTTCCCCATGTTCACCTGTCTGACCCTACAGTCCTTTTCAGGGGAATGGGGGAGGGTGGCAGGCAAGTGAACATGGAACACTCTGCAGTGGTCTCATTACCTTCACGCTCCAGCTGGGCACTGGGTTCTCCCTGCTGTCATAGCAGCAGTCCTGTTTCAGGCACTGGCCAGCCCGCTGTGCCAGGATGTCCCACCTGTAACCCTCGGCCACGTTGTGGGTGGGGTCCGCGGGGTCCAGGATGACAGGCCTGCAAGACAAGGAGACAATGCCCAGCGCTTATTGGGCACCTGTCGTACCCAAAGCTGGCAGTCCTCTGGGAGAGCGAGGCACAGGGGCTGGGGAGAGGTTGTGGGATGGAGAGGAGGAGGTCCCCTAAGCCTGATGGAGCGCTGTTAGGTGCCTCGCAGGAGCGCCTTTTCTGTTCAGTGCAGGGCCATGCCCATTTAGGTTCAGATGTACAGAACTGCTTTGGATCACAGTTAACGCCACCACCACCAGCTACTGACATTGCTGAAGCCCAGGCCCATTCCCACGTGAATTCACCTGCTTGGATCCTTACAAGTCTCTAAATTAGGGATCCATTTTATAGATGAGGAAACTGAGGCACAGACTGCTGCTCACTGCCTCTAGCAGAGATGAGCTTGGGCTGCCTCCGAGGGTCTTTCCTCTGTTGGCTTGGAGAGGACCCACTGGCTCGCCAGGCCCTTGTGGGGAGACCTTGGGTGTTGGGTGCTAAGTCTCTGGCTAGGACGTGAATTTTGTATCCCAGGAGCCTTGGCTTTCTCTGTAGGGCTGAAGGTAGCAGCAGCTTACTGAGAAGAACCCGATATTCTAGGCTGCTTGTTTGCAAGGCAAAGATGGGAAAGCTGGGCCCAGCTTGATGGCTCAATTGGCTAACCCTACCTTATAAGTACTGGGATCCCATATAGACAACCGGGTTGTGTCCCTGTTGCTCTACTCTTCCCATCCAGCCCCCTGCTTGTGGCCTAGGAAAGCAGTGGAGGATTGGCTAAAGTCCTTGACCCCTGCATCCATATGGGTGCTCCTGGATCCTGGTTTCAGATCAGCTCAGCTCCAGCCATTGCGGCCGTTTGGAGAGTGAACCAGTGGATGGGATATCTTTCTATCTCTCCTTTTTCTTTGTAAAAATCTGCCTTTCCAAGAAAAATAAATCTTAAAAACAAAACAAACAAGTGAAAGCCAATCCATCATTCCTTGCTTCTTCCCTTTGTTCTGCGACACTCGCCCAGCGGGCCAGCTGTGTGCATGCACGCCTCCCTACCTGTCTTTTTTGAGCTGTTTGCGAATGCAGTCTTCGATGAGTGGGTCCTGGAGTGTGTAGTAGCTGGTCCAGTAGATGCACAGAAACTGATGGTCCTGGAGCAGCTCCATCACGGTGGCCAGGCCCTCCTCCAGCCGGAAGCTCTCTGCCTCAGCACCTGTTTCCCAGGCGTAGATGGTCAGCAGCTCAAGGGCATAGTCGGGAGGCAGGTTGGCCCTGGGGCACTTGGCCTTCACATACTGTTGGAGGAGCAAAGAAAGAGACCTTAAGGTTCTGTGTTAAGGTTCAAGTCAGACAAGACGCCAGCTAATCTCAACCCTTGGCCCAGCTTGCCCATCTCCCGGCTCTTCTTGTGTGATGTCAGTCAAGTTACCCACCTCTCTGGGCTTTGAGCTTTCCATTTTAGATGGAAGGGACTGGGAGTTACATTCATGCTCGACAGATACCACTTTGGGAATGGCACGATGAGGAGGTGGCCAAGGAGTAAGTGAGCTGGGCTCTACCATCTGCACCCTGATGCAGGGAGCTACATTTAAAACAGTTTGGAATGTACTGAGAGAAGGAGCCTACCAAGAAAGGGCTTTGGGGCCCACTGCCCTGGCGTAGCCTGTTAAGTCACCATGTGCAATGCTGGCATCTCATGTGAGTGCTGGTTCCAGACCTGGCTGGTTCACTTGCCATGCAGTTCCCTGTTTATGATTTGGGAGAGCAGTGGGATATGGCCAAGGGCTGGAGTCCCTGTGCCCATATAGGAGACTAGATGGAGTTACTTGTCTGCTGACCACACTTTGGCCCAGCCCTGGCAGCTGTGATCATTTAGAGAGTGAACCAGCACATGGAAGCTTTTTCTCTCTCTTACTATAATTCTTTCAAATCAATAAATGTTTTAAAAAGGAATTTGATGGGCCCGGGGTTTAGGAATTCTCCTCAGTTTTTATGTTTTTGAATCCTTCATTCACAAGTTTAGCTGACCCTGTTCTTCCCAATAGTTTGATGGATGTGTGGCACCATTTATCACAGATGGCATCCCAAAGGGGTTACCATGGATACCTTCACTCAGTAATGAGCACTTGGAGGGGAACGGGGACAGGTGGAATAAAATGGATCTTCCTTCTTTGTTAGTCTTTTACCCACCACGATTCGTGTCTACAACATATGGGGACGCTGCTATTGGCTAGCTGCATTAGCTGGTGTGGTATGGGGGTGTTTTTACTGCGATACCAGGCATTACCCACGTCTCCCTTTTTCTTCTCTGTTCCCCGTTCTCTCTCTAGCTCCTTTCCTTCTGCACGGGTTGCTCACCCCGTCTCCCTCCTCTGCCCTCCCGCTGCTCTCCGGTCCTGGACAAGCAGCCCTCACCTGCTGGTACCAGTGCTTTACCAGCCGCAGGAGGCTCTTGAGCTTGGTCGGCTGGTGTTTCACAAAGTTCTTTTGCAGCTCGCTGAAGGAGGGGGAGAAGATGCCGGGGTAGTTGGAGTAGCTGTAAGAGGCTTTGATCAGATCCACATACACTTGTGGGGGTGGTGGCGAGTCGGAAACTGAGGAACCTGGAGGGGAGAGGAGACCAAAGGGAGAGAGAGGTGAGGGGGCTGCAGGACATGCCGGGGGCGGCGGTGAGGTGAGGGGAGGAACCGGCCCACTCCTGGGGTTCTCTTTCCTCAGACCTTGTGTCCTGAGGAGCCAAAGATTTGGGTTGCTTTGTCCTTTTTAGGAGTTTGCTCTTTGCCCTGGGAAATCAATATTGGCTTCAGGCTACTCAATGACTGTTGTCCTTGTTGACTGCCCCCAGTACCTCCCCTCTACCCAGTTGATTCTTTAAGGTTGGCTTTGGGTCTTGTTCTGGGTGGTGATTTCTTGGGATCGTTTAGTACTCATGGGGACCTCGGCCCCTGAGAGGCATCTGTCACGCGCGTCTTGAGCACGCTCGCTCTTGCTAAGATCAGATCTCACCTCTAGCTCCTCCTCCACACAGTGACTCATGGACAGCCACTGCAGTAAATGGGAGCGGGCATACGAACTAGAGCCTGCATCACCTGGGCTCATAGCTGTTCCAGAACACTTCGAACATCTAGAACCCTCTGCCCTGGCACAAAGGAATGCTCATGGGTCAGTGCCCTGGAGGGTGGTGGTAGCAGAGAGAGAAATCCCCAATGGGTAGGAAATGGGTAAGCTCCCTGGGTGCCACCCAGGAGGACCTGGAGGTCTGGTCTCTATTGGTACTGAGCCTTCTCCAAGGTTATGTAGCCCAGGAGCCCAGCTTGGTGGCTTTCCCAACCAGTGTTTTCTGGAATCACCTCCCCAAGTAAGTGCTTACCCTTGCCTCAGGGTCAGACCCCCCACCCCACCCCCTCAGTGAGTGTTTCTTGGTGAGAAGCAATCGCTGATACTGTTTAGCTCCTTACTCTCGCTGACATCTTATCTCCTTCAGGAAGTGCTTTCTGCACAAAGCCCCTCTCTGAGCACATTCCCTGAGTGGCACCCAACACACCCTGTTCTCCTCTAAATATGCATCACCATTTGTCCACAATTGTGACTCTTTGAGAACTTTCTTGCTCTCTGAAGTTGGGGTCTGTGATGACCATGGTGCACTATGCCAGCCCAGGTCCCTGTCATCCCACGGCCTGTGTAGAATGAATGAATGCAGACGCTGGTGGCAGGCAGCCAGGAATGGCAGGCAAGTTTCTCGGGGATGGCAGGTGTGTAAGCAGGTGTAAGCGAGGCCCTTACCCAAGACCCTGTAGGCAGGCACGAGGGTGACTGTGATGGGCTCTGCTGTCCTGGTCTGGATGGTAAAGACAAGCGCACTGGGGACTCCCTCGTCTATCCTCAGGTCCCTGAGCCCCAGGGCCAGCAGCTCCTGGCAGTACTGAATCTTTTTTCGTATCAGTCTCAGAACCGCTGTGTGGTACTTGGCCTCCTCCCAGAAGTTGCAGAAACAGCTCAGGAACGCCACCAGCTCCACTTCGGCAGTGCCCTTGAGCGCCGTGCCCGTCCCAAAGGAGCCCACCTGTGGAAACATAGAGCTCGTTGGCCAGTGGCCCTCAGCCATAGGCCAGGTGACCCTCTGTGACACATCCCATGGTGGATTCCATGGCCTGTGTACCACCTCCCCGCATCCTGAGAGAGGAAAGGGCACAACCCACATCCCCCACTTGGCATGTGAAAAAGTGGAAATGTCAAAGCAGGGGTCACCTGGCCGAGGTTCAGGCTGAGCTACTATACCATCTCTACACCATCTGCCCTTTTGTCCCCCAGAGGAATTCCTAACCCAAAGGGATCCTTCAGGAGCATCTAGCCTCATTCTACACCCCTTTTCCCTGCCCCCCTACCCACCCAGTTTTGCGGGGTCTCATGGAATCTGAATCACTTGAAGGCATTAAGAAGAGGGAGGACGTTTGCCTGGTGGACCACAGATATGTTCTGAGAATGGAGGTCCCTTCCTTTGACCTTGATCATAAGCTGTGGGATTCTTCAGGAGCCAGAGTAAGGGAAGATGAGTCACCAGGATCCTGGGAGGAGCAGGGCCAGGCACCCAGGAAGTCGGCAACCATATATTCCTGTTCCTCCTCTCTTTCTAGCTGACTTGCCAGACCCTCCTGCAGCCTGGGCCTCAGGGTCCCCATCTGCTAGGGAAGAGCTGGGCAGGGTCTTTTTTTGCTGTTCTGAGATTCTAGATTGGCTGTCTAGGATCCACTTGCTGTAGCCATATGAAGCCCCACAACTGTCTGGTCTCTCCTCTTTCTCACTCTTTTCGGGGAGGTGGGGAGGCACAGAAGAGGGTCAGGTGTAATTGTTGGAGAAAGCCTCTGACTATAAGGGAAGGGACCAATCCTCACAAGAGAAGTGACTGTTTCTGAGCTCCAACTCAGCTGCTATGGGTTGGGCTTCCTTGGAATCTGGCACCACCAGAGAACCCTTTCTGGGTGGTATCCCTTTTAACTCTCATATCTGCTGGTGACGCGATGGGGTGGGGGTAGGGCAGTCCTAGGAGAGTCAGCCGCCGTGGACAGAGGAGGTGACCCAGGCAGCAGGAGCTTGGTCAGCTCTCTGTGGTCTCCCAGCCAGAGAACAGCAGAGTCAGAGGAAGAGGTGGAATTTAGCAGTGGGTGGGACTTGCACCTGTTTCTTCTCCCCCAAGTCCACAGCCATGCTCTGCTCCGGAGCTGCACCATCCTTCTCCCCCTTCCCTTTTCTATTCTCCCCTTGCCCTGGCCTGCAGACTCAGCCTTTCTGCCTCACGTGAGTGGGTTGAGGACGCTGCGTCACCCTGACCAGGCCGCCCGTTCTGGCTGAAGGCAGAGAGGGGCCCACCATGGGCTTCTTGGCTTGCTTTGGCTTGGCGCTACCAAGTCTGGTTGGTCTGAAGGCCCCTGCTCGGCATGGTTGTAGGGGATTTTCCTGGAAGGGAGGGCCTTTAGAGTTCAAATAGAATTAAGATTTTCTCGTGATCCATTGCTCTTGGGGTTTCTTGGCCACTTGGAGATTTCAAAGAGAGATGCAGTCGTGGTCTGGAGGACAACTCGGGTCTACCCCAACTGCTACTGCCAAAACTCATTCAGTTTGGAACCAGGAGCCCTAGCTGTGGAGTCAGGTTCAAATCTCAGTTCTGATGATAGGCTGTGTGGCCTTGGGCAAGTGGCCCTTCTCTGAGCCCCTGAACAAGATCTTATTCACAACACAGAGAAAAGGAGAGGATACATAAACACTCAAAACGACAGGTGCTTCGAGTGTAGTGAGTTTAGATCCCTTGCCTCTGCTTTGGTCTAAAACACTTGGACATCGATTGCAGACTCTGTTCCTGTCTACTTCAACAGTTGCATCCTTAAAAATCAGAGAGAGAGAGAGAGAGAGAGAGAGAGAAACAAGAAACATTCTTCTCCATAAACGCACACTATAATTACACCTAACAAAATCAGCAGGAATTTTCTTGGGTCGACAAACATACATACTACATTAACGTTCCCCCCGTGAGCCCCCCAAACGTTGCCAAAAGCTTTGTCTGGCATTTGCTCATGAGGGGAAGTGGGGTCTTCAGCCCTGGGAGCTCCCTTTCCTTTGGCTGTCTATCACGGGGAGAGGATCGTGCCAGCCTCACAGGGTACGGGAGCTAGAAACCACCCACAGTAAGGGGTTTGACCAACCTGCTGCTGGGCCCTCACTCACTGGCCCTGCCCCACTGCAGGTACAATAAGCTGAAGTGGGGACAGGCTGGATGTGGTGTCCCGAGAGATCAGCAGCATGGGTTAGGGAGAGAGAAGCAGATAAGGATTCTCTCATGATTAGGGACGTGGTTTTCTCACCAGGAGTTTTGTCCTGCCTGGCTGGGGGTAGGGGAGGGAGTCTCACCTTGATCACCTTCAGCACCCGAGCCTCCTGGTTCTGCAGCCAACGCTCCCCATGGAAGGACTCCTGCCTCAGGAACTGCTCCACATTGGCCACAGCTTCCAGCACCTCCTCTTTCCACTCCCGGCTCGGCTGCAGCCAGCGAGCCACGAAGGAGTCCAGCCTGCAACTTGAGGTGCCATACAGCTCCTGTGCCAGTGCCATCTCGATCTGGACAGTACCATTGCTGGGCAGTTATATAGTCATTCAGTCCCTGTCCATCTAGCACACGCCCCCTCCTTTCTTAAGGGGGCTCCTCCTTAGTTGCTCTTCAGCACCCTGTGGGAGAAAGGATCAGAATGAAGAGGAATCTGGGGGCGATCGGGCTGATGTGTAACTCCCCTTCTTGGGGAACCCCTCCCGATGCAGGTGCGCTGAGGGAAACCAGGTCTAGGTTAGCAGGCCTGGGGCCACCTTAAGAGGGCTGGCATCCAGCCAACTTTCTGCTCTCAGTTTCGATTCTCAACTTGTTGAGTTTTCTTTTGATGACGTTGGGAAACTGAAATCAAGTGTTGTCAGTCTACCTGCCCCACTTCTGTAGGGAAACTGAGGCTCAGGGTCTTTGCTCGTGCTTGGAGCTGGAGAGTTCAACAGTGCAAACTTTGAAACAGGGGTGCTTGTCCGTCTCTTATCCTCGAAGACTCTCTCCTTCTTTATGTGTAAAGTGGGGTTAATACCAATACTGACTCTCTGAGGTTCCGTTGTGGATCAAGCAGGACGGCAGTGAGCCCAAAAGGCATTCAGTGGGTGTACATATTATTATTCATGCCTAAAGCATTTATTGAGTGATGTTGGATTCCAGGCAGGGTGCAGAAGACAAAATAAGATGACATTCTCTTCCCAAAAGGCTCCCAGAAGTGGAATAAGGGAGACAAAACCGGAAAGAGGTGGCCCAGTGTGATAGCTTAGTGGCTAAATCCTTGCCTTGCCGGGATCCCATATGAGCACCGGTTCCTGTCCCGGCTGCTCCACTTCCCATCCAGTTCCTTGCTTATGGCCTGGGAAAGTAGGCGAGGACGGTCCAAAGCCTTGGGACCCTGCACCCACACAGGAGACCCAGAGGAATCTCCTGGCTCCTGGCTTTGGATCAGTTCAACTTTGGCAATTGCAACCACTTGGGGAGAGAACCAGCAGAGAGAAGATCTTTCTGTCTCTCCTTTCTGTAAATATGACTTAACAATAATAAAAAAAAAAGATTAATTAAAAATAAACAAACAAACTCGAAAGAGATTCTGGGAATCCAACTAGGCATGAACTTGGAGGGAGAAAGAGCAGGTAGGAAACTGGGCAGAAAAATCCCTCTGGCTTGACCTCCGAGGGCGGGAAGCCAGCTGGAGGGAGGAGGGTACCACAAGGGGAAACCCAACAAGTGTGAACGATTCTGTTGTGTGTCAGGGACTTAGATATCAGAGATCCTCGGGCAGGGGAGAGGTGAGAAATGTGCCTCAACAGATGTGCAGGCGTTGAATCTTGGTGTGCCATTCGCTTGTTCATTCATTCATTCATGGATTGATTCATTCAACAAATACCCTTTTTTCTTTTAATTTTGAAAGGCAGAGTAATAGGGGTTGAGTGGAGATCCTTCATCTGCTCTGTAAAAAAATATATATATAAAAAATACATAATTTATATATAAAATTTATTTATTTATTTATTGGAAAGTTGGATGTGGAGAGAGGAGAGACAGAGAGGAAGATCTTCTGTCCGATGGTTCACTCCCCAAGTGGCCACAACGGCTGGAGCTGAGTCAATCCGAAGCCAGGAGCCTCCTCCGGGTCTCCCATGTGGGTGCAGGGCCCCAAGGCTTTGGGCCGTCCTCGACTGCTTTCCCAGGCAACAGGCAGGGAGCTGGATGGGAAGTGGGGCCACCGGAATTAGAACTGGCGCCCATATGGGATGCTGGTGTGTTCAAGGCAAGGACCTTAACCGCTACACTATCGTGCTGGGCCCCCATCTGCTCTTTCACTCTGGCACTGGGCCAGATTAATGCTGGGAGTCAGAAGCCAGGAGTAAGGAGCCAAGAACCCCTACTGAGTCTTCCATGTGAGGGCAGGAGCTCCAAGCACTTGAACCATTGTCTGCTGACCCCTGGTGCTCTCAGCAGGAAGCTCAGGAGCTGGAAGTGGAGTGGCTGGAATGTTAGTGTCACAAGTGCCAGGTTGTCCAACTTGCACCACAATGTCTACCCCAAAACCAGTAATTTTTTAATTATTTGAGAAGCAGAGTAACAGAGCGGAGAGACACAGAGAAAGGTATTTTCCAACTGCTGTTTCCGTCCTCAAGTGTGCCACAATAGCAGGGGTTCAGGCTGAAGCCTGGTGCCAGGAGCAAGTGTTTGAGCCATCACCTGCTACCTGCCAGGGTGCATATTAACATGAAACTGGGTTGGAAGTTAAGCTGGAACAAACAGGTGGTCTGATAAGGGAAGCGGGCATGTCAAGTGGTGACTTAACTGCTATGCCAGTTGCCCATCCCAGCATGGAGCTGTTAACAGTCATGAGACAGGATGAGATCACTGTGGACGTGAGAATAGAACACGAAGACAAAGGAACCTGGGGACTGAGCCCCAAAGCACTTCCCATGATCCAGAGGTGGGAGAATTTCCAGGCACCAGCAGAGAAGGAGGAGCTAGTTAGGTAAAAGGAGGAGCAGGAACCAAAGGAAGATATTATTTCAAGAAAGAGGAAGTGAGGAGGTGACCTATTGGGTCAATTGCCAGATGAACCTGTTCTGACTTTGTTCTGAGGGCTGGTGGCAAGTCATGTGATAGACTCTAGCAAGGTTGACATGGCAGTCCCCTGGGGGCGAGGACAGGCGCAGGGGGCAGGAGGGGTGCAGGGAGGGGAGTCAGGATGCTGAGCAGGGTTCAGATGGCAGGCCAAGGGGTCAGATGAAGTGGGCAGCAGGTGAAGTGGAGAGGAAGGAGGTGGGGGGAGGGTATGTGCTGCTTTCAGAGGAAGGAGGTGAGGACACACTTGTGGCCAGCAGTGGGAAGAGAGGACTAGGAGAGGATGGGGTAAGAGCAATTCTCCAGCTGGGGGAGGAACAACTATCTTCCAGGCTATGTGTAAAAATTATTCAGACAATAAACATTCAGGGTGTACATGCTCATTGTTTATTCTGGGTCAGAAAATCCCTGAGAGCTAAATCATTGATCTGGCAATTGATCAAGCTTCCATGAGGTAGAGAGAGACAGTAAAGAGAGTGAAGAGGGCTAGGCTTTAGGCAGGTGGGAGATAAATAAAGATGTCCTAGTTTGGAGTCCCCATGCAAAGTTATGGGACCAGTGCGAGTGGATCTGGGAGGAGAAAACACCAATCCAATGGACATTATGAAGCTGAGAGCTGCTGTGGGTACCTGGTGCCATCAGCCAACCTCCGGTTTCAGGTGAGCCAGGCCTGACTTGAGAGGACCGGCTTGGCCAATTCGCAGAATCATGAGCAAGTGAATTTGCTCATGGGAATTTGGGTGGATAGCTGTGCTGTACAAGCTAACAGAGACGCCCTCTGCTATCGCTTTGGAGTCCCAGATTCAGGGTTAATTTTAGGTTCCAATTTGATTAGACAAAGGGCTGCACAGGTAATTGGTACACTATTATTGCTGGGTGTGTCTGTGATGGTATTTGCTAAAAAAGATTAGCATTTGAATCAATAGACTGCGTTAAGTTGATATACCGTCACCAAGGTGGCTGGGGTATTATTGGAGTCACATCCTAGACCCAACATCCTGGCACTCAAGGAAGAGGAAGCTCCTTCCTCTTGTCTGGAGCTAGGGCAGCTACCTTCTGCCTTCAGGTGTCAGAATTGTAGGCGATTAGTCCTCAGACTGTGGGAGCCTTAAATCCCTTGCCTCTTCAGCTTGCATGCAGCAGAGTCTGGTCTTCGCTCCACTCCTCCATGTCCATGGGTTCATCCCATCAGTTCGAGGTCTCTACAGACCCCCGAGACAATCCAGTTGTGCCTAAGCTTAGAACCCCCGGACTCTCATAGGCCATTATGTTCTACTTTTTGTCACAACAAATTACTAGTGAATGGACTGAAAAGACGAAAGGGCAAAAGGTTAGAGATGTGTGTCAGAAGGGACAGGCTGGGCAGAAAGGAAAGTAAAACCAGCGTGAAAAGGAAATGGAAAGGGCCTTGAACGTCAGAGTTTTCTTTTTGAGACTGGATCCAATTCTCCTGATGCCTCAGGTCAGCCTGTTTCCTAGAACTGTCGTCGCCCTCCTGTTTAAAGGCAGGTCAAAGAGGGACCTCTCCTCTTGAGTTGGGAAAACAGCGCCTCCCCTTCCCTCCCCCATCCAGGGCTGAGGGTCTTAGGCACTTTCACCCGTGATACCTGGGACACCTTGAAGGAAAGCAGGACTCCATCTCAAGCCTACTCAATGGCCAAAAATCTGGCCTGTGTCTAATATTACATCATTTTCTCCCTCCCCTTTCCTAGACATAGCCCCAGGGGAGTGAGCAAGCCCTCGTGGGATTTTGGACTCAATGGGTAATTGGAGGTTGTTCAGGATAAACCTACTGATTCACACACAAAATACAAAAGAATTTTAAGAGGTTAAAACTTTGGTCACACCCAGCTAGCTGTAAGGGAGGCTGGAAAATGTAGTCTTCAGCCTTTTCAGATGTGCCTAGCGCTAATTCCTGCTGTTATGAAAGAAAGGGAGAAAGTATGTTGGGAGGGAATAGCAATTGATGCCACAGGTTACATTCTCTGTTTTTGTAGGACAAAGAGGAAGGGACTGTGAAAGCTGGGAGTGACTCAGCTCTATAGAAGTCCTTTGCCCCTGATATGAAAAGAAAGCTTAGATGAAGCAGAAGGAGGAAGCCAATAACTCCTGGTAGCTGCTACACCTGTTGAACACTTTCGTTGTACCAGGCACTGGGTGAAGCATGTTACATGTGCTATGCCATTCTAGTCCTCATAGGAGACTCCACTTAGATTCATCTTTTTGTCCAACACATACTTTATTGAGCATCTATTAAGTGTTATCCTCAGCGTTAGACTTGGGAGATACTGAGCCCCCTAACTCACAGCATAGCAAAGTGGACCTAAGCATGAGCTTTGGAGCTAGCATGCTAGGGTTCAATGCCAAATTTTTGGACTAAAAATATCCAAGAATCACCTAAATACCCTAAATGTCTATAAACAGGGCAGGCTAAGAATAATTCTAAGATTACTGTGGTGCCAGTATAGCGATGAATGGGCCGGAATCAGACTAGTACCTGGCATACAGTTGGTGCTTAATAAATGATAATTACTGTTACCATAGAGAAAGAAAATCTTGGATTTTAACTGTCCTGAGATAGATTTCAAGAAGCCCAGAATTTTCCCTCTAATAGAAGTAGACAGAAATCTGAGAACCATTCTTTGTCCAGTACTATCCTGTTGGTCTAGAACTTACACAAAATGAGGTATACAGATGCGGAATGTAGTGCATTATGTCTGTCAAGCTCTCTCTTCCCCTGTTGCTGCGAGCCTTGCTGCTGGAAACCCCAGCTTCTCACCTCTCTCCTGGTTCTGGGGATCCAGTTCCCTCCAGTTCACCATCTCCCTGTTGCCTTTTTAGCTCCAATGAACTCTTAGCTCTCTTGGTTCATTTATCCTTGTATGAGGCCTCTCATACTAAAAGGTACAAGAATATCACCTCACCACAGCAGGTGTTAGTTCTTTTCTTATGTTACCTCCCCAGATCCCCCTGAATTTTGAACTGTGTGAGCTCATGTGGACTTGGGGACTTAAATTTGCCAAGTACTTTTGCATTCCTTGTGTGGTCCTTACAATGGCCTTGTGAGGTTAAGTTGTCCAGATGGTGTGTCTTCCATTCTGTGCATAAGGAGGTTGTGGTCAAGAAGACTAACTTGCCCAAGGATTAGCTCCTGGGAAGTAGCTGGTGCAGGGCAACAATTCTTAAATGGTCCAGACCATGCAACGCATAGCAGGTGGTTCACATATAGGTGAACATTGGGCTGGGGAAGGAGAGCTGAAGTCCACTAAGAGAGGCAGTATCGGGCCGTGCAAAGACTCTCTGAACAAGAGTCTGGTCAGATGCATGGGAGCCTGCAGCCTCAAGGCTCTGTAATCTCAAATAGAACCATTAGCTCTCCTGAGTGTTTCCTCAGCTATATAAGAGCAGTGGTGAGAGTCAAACGAAGGCCAAGTGCTGGCTGCTATTCCTGGCATGTAAAAAATGCTCAAGCAATAAACTTTCCTCATCTCCAGAACTCATCATCTAATTGGTTCAGCCCAGCCAATAGATGGGTTCTGTCCTGGATCAGGGGATTATTGCTGGTCTAATCAGCTGTAGCCCAAGATGATGTCATCTTTTGTGGACGAGACCACCCATGGGACTGGAGGAGACTAGCAGGAATGCCAGATCTCGGAGCAGGTGTCTATGGGTGAGACTTGAGATGATTCATGAGGGTCATGCCTCAATACTCTCATCTATTAAAGAGGGTAGGGGGTTTGAGGTGTAGAAAGAGGGTAGGGGGTTTAAGGTGTAGTGGCCCCATCAGCTTCTAGGGCAGCTGTGAGAAGAAGGATCAAATGACAGTGTGGCTGTGGAGACTCTTGGTAATGGAGCAATACAGAAAGGGCTTTTATGCGGTTGCTGAAGACCTTGGTCAGCGGTCTTACGGTAGGAGAAGTGCCCTCTCTAATCCATTCAGCAGGTGGCTAGGAACTCCATTCAGCCTGATGAAGCCTGATAAAAAGAAACGGAGGAAATTCAATGGTAACAGGGCAGGGCTGGCAGCACCCTGCAGCTTCAGTCCCTTAGGATGAAGCTTTTGTGAAGTCTTCTGTGAATCTCTCTTGGCACAGGTTGCTCCCTGACTCGGCTGCTGGGGATCCAGGGCTGGGCTGGGCTCCTAGTGTTGGGGGAGCGGCGCGGTGAGGGGAAACGGGGAGTAGATGGGGCGGGTGGTGAGGGCCAAGCGAAGAGATGTGTACTTCACTCTGCCAGGCAATGAGGAGCCATTAGAGGATTTTTCAAGACCTTTTATGTCAGAATAGCTTTGAATACATGAGGCAAGAAGTTGACAAAGCAGTACAGACACCGCAGAAGTGACACCCAGCGTCCCCTGTTGCTGACATTTTCTGTTAGCACCATACAGGTGTCACAAACAACGAACCACATCTAGTTGCTTTTTTTTTTTTTTTTACAATCCAAACTCCTATCCCCTTCCCACGCCCTCCCAACAGCAAGTAATCACCATTCTGTGTTCAATTGGTCTGGTTTTGGTCCCACATAGGAGGGAGAACATGCAGTGTTTGTCTTTATGTTTGGCTTATGTCACTTGACATGCAGTGTCCTCTAGCTCCACTGGTTTGGTTGCCAACAACAAGATCGCAGCCTTTCTCATGGCTGGGTAATATTCCATGGTAGACTTAGACCCCGTTTTCTTTTTCCTTTCACCTGATCAGGGACACCTTGGTTGATCCCCAATCTCGGCCGCTGTGGAAAGAACTGCTATGTGCAGAGTGGAACAACTTCTAATTGATACAATGAGCTCATGTGTTCAGGATGTGTAAGCCCAGGAGTGGGGTTGCGGGATCAGAGTGATGGTTGTAGCTCTATTTTTTTTTTTTTTAAAGGGAAATCTTCATGCTATTTTGGTCATACTGGCTTAGATTGATCCCAAGCATTGCTAGGTTTCCTATATAGGGATAAGTCTCGTATTAGAAGAGATTATATGGCTGGGCCCTCAGATCTTTCCTTTCCAGCGTGATGGTGTCACTGTCTTTGATCTCCAGGCTTGTGAAGTTGTGATGGTCGCGCAGCTTCCGGCCCTGGAACTTTAGCACCTGGTCCTCCACGCGCGGCCCGCCGGCACCCTCAATCTCTCCTTTCAGGCAAAGGATGGTGTCGTCCGGGTAGATGGCATAAGGTGTGCTCTGGCCGCTGGCATCCTTCACAAACACCTGGATCTGAGGTGGAAAGGTATCCAGCACCCGGATGGTCACCTTGGAGAAGATGCCGTAGTCTCCCAGGCTCCTGTGGCTGCTAAGCAGCTTCCGCTCTCCTCCTGGCTCCTGAAAGGAAAGACGTTGCTCTCCGAAGACCAAGTTCCTCTTCTTGATCTCAGCCTTCATCCTCCAGATGGGGTTGTATGGGGGCACCGAAATGCTCCAGGTCTCCTGTCCTGTCTGCTTCACGGTCACCTGCACGTCCCTCGCTCTCTGGAAGCGAGAAAGAAGCAGATTCATGGATCTGGCCGCCCATGGCTACTTTTTGGTTTCCAAAGCCTCTCTCTCTTATGGCGACTGAGGCTTTTTTTTTTTTTTTTTTAAAGATTTGTTTATTGGGCCCGGCACAGTAGCCTAGCAGCCAAAGTCCTTGCCTTGAACATGCCGGGATCCCATATGGGCGCCAGTTCTAATCCCAAGTGCTCTGCTTCCCATCCAGCTCCCTGCTTGTGGCCTGGGAAAGCAGTCGAGGACGGCCCAAAGCCTTGGGACCTGGCACTCATGTGGGAGACCCAGAAGAGGCTCCTGGCTTCGGATTGGCTCAGCCCCGGATATTGTGGCTGCATGGGGAGTGAATCATTGAGCAGAAGATCTTCCTCTCTGTCTCTCCTCCTCTCTGTATATCTGACTTTCCAATAAAAATAAAATATATCTCTAAAAAAAATCGCGTATGAATCTCAAAACACTTTTTTGCTCCATACTACACCCAACTTCATTTTACTTTTCCACGAACTTTTGGGGAGCATACTCATGCTCAGTAGCTGTACACTGGGGCACTTTAAGAAGCTCACTTTAAGGAAAAAAAAGTTTAAACACACACATACACACGCACACACACAGAAAAGAAAGAAAAAAGAAAAAGTTCAATGTAGGGAGAAAGGCAGGTGGCATAGTGGCATAATAGGCTAAGCCTCCACCTGAGGAGCCAGTATCTCATATAGGTGCTGGTTCAAGTCCTGGTTTCTCTAATTCTGATCTAGCTCCCTGCTAATGGAGATGGCCCAAGTCCTTGGCACCCTGCACCCATGTGGGAGACCCTAAGGAAGCTCCTGGCTCCTGGCTTTGAACCAGCCCAGCTCCAGCCATTACAGCTATTTTGGAAGTGAACTGTCTCTCCTTTCTTTATAAATCTGCCTTTTCAATAAAAAAATAAACACATATTTTTAAAAAGAACTTCATGGGAAATTGAATTGGAAGTGGGAGTTTATTTTAATGCAAAAAAATTTTGGGGGGTGTGTTTTTTTCATCATATGTGGAAAATGCATACTATATATATATGTATATGTATAGTATATATATATTTTATATATATATATATAAAGAACAACTAGGCATGGATTTCAAAGTGATTTTGACATCAAAAAAGACACTTTTAATTCCATTACCCTACAGACTTGCTGGAGTACACTCATTTACTTAAAAACGTCAAACAAAAACACCAGCAAATCAACCAATCCAGGATGTACATTCAGAAGCGGCCCCGGGCTTGTGTGTGGGGCCCAGCCAGGGCTGGGGAGTCCAGAGGTGTGAGGCACCGAGCCCTGAGGGACTGCGAGTCCAAAGAGAAAAGAGACAGTACATCTCTGCAGTAGCTTGCTTACCCTCCTCTTTTTCTCTTGCCTCCCAGGACTCACCCCGCCCCCGTCATGGTCTCCCGGGACGCGGCTACAGTGGCAGGATACTGTGATGCCCGAGTTGTTTGCCCTGCTGCTGTGGTGGCAGGTGGCCTTGGGGGTTAGACTCAGAAATATCCTGCAGGCTGGGTGACAGGACGGCAGTAGGAGTTGCATGTTGAGGGAAGTAGTTGCCTCAGGGGAGCTCCTTTGGGCAGACCAGGGTTTGTATTCACACCCAGGACGTGCACGGTTTCTTCTTGTTGGAAAGCCACACAAGGAAGGGGCTGGGACTGTTGCTAGCAGCGGAACCCTGTGGTCCTCACTTAAAATTTTTGGACAGGGTGCTGACGCTGGAGTACAATGGGTTAAGCCACTGTCTGGGAGGCTGACACCCTACTGTGAGTGGCTGTTTGAGTCCTGGCTGCTCCACTTTTGATCCAGCTCCCTGCTGATACACCTGGAGAGGCAGCAGGAGGTGACCCAAATCCTTAAGCCCCTGCCAGGTGGGTGGGAGATCTAGATTGAGTTCCAGACTCCTGGCTTTGACTTGGCTAAGCTCCCCTGGCTCTTGTGGCCATTCGTGGAGTGAGCCAGTGGATGGACAATCTGTCTGTCTCTCCCTCTCCCTGTCTTTGGGTAACTCTGCCTTTTAAATGAAAGAAAAAATAGATCTTTTTTAAAAAATATATATATTTTAGCTATATCTATTAAATCTCTTGTTTTAATAATAAGAAGTTGATAGTTTGACAGCTTACAAAAAAGAAAAAAATGACCCTGACATTTACAGTGAGAGAGAGAGAGAGAGAGAGAGAGAGAGAGAGAGAGAAACATTCCCTTAAATAGCTATAGAAAGGGTATATATTGCCTGCCCATTTTACAGATGAAGCCAGTGAGGTCCAGACACTAACAGCCAAAAAAGGAAGAACTATAAGCCTGGTTGGCCAGGTGTCAATACAGGAGGCACTGTCTATCCTGGGGGGACCCTTTGCTCCTACAGCCAAGCGCTGGAGGGAGATGGGGTGGGGGTTACAGGGGATTAAAACAAGTTTAGTGCTGAGTCTCGCTGTGTGCTGGGGGGCAGGATGTACCGGCACGTGCCAGCGCTGGCTGTGGTCTACGGTCTGACAGCACGCTTGTCGCAGGCAGTAGGTGGCTTCTTTGGCCACGACGTCCCAATTTCTCTTCCTTCCCAGGTTGTTAGTGGGGTCAGCCGGGTCCAGGATGACAGGTCTTGGGGAGAGAAATGGAGTGAATCTCATTTCCTGCTCAGAACTTCTGAGACTCTCAAGGCTGTGCGATTGTGTGTTTCCATGGATGTGTAGCCTGCCCAGCTGAGACGTGTGAGTTGTGGTTAGAGATGTAACCTACACTGGCCTGATCAGAGTGACTCGCAGAGACCTCCACTGGAAGGTATGAGTCTAGGTGGGGAGCTAGGAACTGATGGGGGCCATGAAGGAGTTCATCTGAATCGGATGGTAAAAACCTCAGGAGGGGCAGAGCTGAGACTCCCAGGGTGGGACTCTGATGACAGGGTGAATACCTGGATCGTACTCTGCCTAAAGCTACTTTATCTTTTCAGTTGCAAAAGCCAATTGATTTTGCCTACTAAAAAAAAAAAAAAAAAAAAACAAAAAAAAAACCAAAACAAAAAAAAAGCAAAAACTCTTTTTAGTTGAATTCTTGTTGTCTTGTAGGAAAATATTAAACTGGATAGAACTTTTTGTGATACCATGTGGTGTTTCGATATGTGAGCATGTTGTATCATCTTCAAATTAGGAAAGAGGTCGGTATTTGGCAATGTGGCTGCTGGGGACACCTGCACTGGTATGAGAGTACCACATCTGAGTTTTGGCAGCTCTGTTTCCAATCCACATTCTTGCTAACATGCACCCTGGGAGGCAGTAGCTGACGGCTCAGGTCTGTGGGTCTTTGCTACCCACCTTGAAGACTCAGACTGAGTTCTAGACTCCTGGAGTCAGCCTGGCCCAGCCCTGGCTGTTGTGGGCATTTGGGGAGCAAACCAGCAGATGGAAGCGCACCCTCTGTCTGTCTCTCTGCCTTTCAAATAATATGAAAAGAAGTTTAAACAGAATAGGGTCCGGAACAACCGCTCAATTATCTAATTCTCTACCTCCAAATGCAGCACCCCCAGTGCAGGTCCTGGCTGCTCCACTTTCCATACAGCTCCCTGATTGTGGTCTGGGAAAGCAATAGAGGATGGCCCAAAGTCTTGGGACCCTACACCTGCATGGGAGACCCAGAAGACACTCCTGGTTCCTGGCTTCGAATCAGCTCAGCTCTAGCTGTTGCGGCCATCTGGGGAGTGAACCAGCAAATGGAACTTTCTCTCTGCCTCTCCTCTCTGTAAATCTGATCTGCCTTTCCAATAAATAAACACACTTAAAAAAAAATAGGGTGAATGTATCTACCTCCTCATGGTTTATCATCTTTGTGGTATTCCTTTTCATTTGTAAACCACTTGGGTTGGGTTTTCTGTTTGGTGAAGGTGAAAGTCAGGCAACTAACACACCCACCTGCACTCCTTCAGCTGTTGCTTGATACAGTTGCGGACGGTCTGGTTTTGGAAATCATAGTACTTGGTCCAATAGATGCAGATGTTTTTGTAATCTCGGAGGAGCTCCATCACAGCCACGAGCCCTGTGTCCAAGTCGAAGCTCTCACTCTCTTCTGTGCCCATTTCCCAGGCGTAGATGGTCAGCAGCTCCAGGGCATATTTTGAAGGCAATGTTACTTTTCGATGTTTTTCCTTCAAATACTACAGGAGACAGACAGATGGGAAAGACAAATTTGAAGATATGGGACTGGTGCTATGAGATGGTCCAGGTCCCGCTGCATTACATAACACACAGCCATGGAATGACTGCAGGTGTAGATAGGCTTATGTCTTGGGGCCATCAAGATTTCACTGAAGTCTCTAGTGTGATGGCTCAATTGGCTAATCTGCCCCTTGTAAGTGCTAGAATCCAATATGTGCACAGGTTCATGTCCTGGTTGCTCCACTTCCCATCCAGCTTTCTACTTATGGTATGGGAAAACAGTAGAGGATGGCCTAAAACCTTGGGACCTTGCACCAATGAGGGAAACCCAGAAGAAGCTCCTGGCTCCTGGCTTTGGATGGACTTAGCTCTGGTCACTGAAGCCATTTGGGGAGTGAGCCAGTGGATGGAAGATCTTTCTCCCTGTATCTCCTTCTCTTTGTAAAATCTGCCTTTCCAATAAAACATACGCAAATCTTTGAACAATATTTCAGCAAAAGAGGAAGTTAAGATCTTTTATTAATCTGGTTAACCTCATCAATCCATGTTATTTGGTGGGAAGTGTGTATGTGTGTGCGTGTATAACACATAGTCAATATAATGGAAGAAAATGAAGGTGCACTGAAAAATATAACACAGAATTATGAAACAAACCACAAAATGAAGGAAAACCTGAAGGGGACAGAGGGCTGTAGTGCAACCTTTACATCCAAACTTAATTTACAAACTTATTTCAGTTTCTAGGATTGCAATAGTGCGTTGATTATGCTAACACTGCCTTATGGTTCACATGCAAGAATAAATACCTAGGAAAAGCCAGCCAAGAAAATGCTGAAAAAAGGTGAACAGCAATACTGCAGCTTGTCTTCTGGGGTGTGTTGTAAAAACCAGTGGTGAGAGAAGCAGTGTGCTTTCAGCACAGGAATAAGAAATAGTTGAATATGTGTGGCTTATTTTTTTTTTTAAGTAGAAGATGGTTCAGCATTAGTTCCCAGGAGACAAGAGGATTATATAACTGATGGCTGAGCCATTTCAGTTCGGTGGGAAGAGGATGCATAACTCAATAACAGATGCTGCCGCAATTTGTCAGTCATTTGAAAGAAAACAAAGTAAGTAAAGGCAATTCCAAAGTCATACCATATCCCAAAGGAAATGTTAAAAGCGGAGTCAAGGTGGACATTGTGGGTGCAGTGAGTTAATCTTGGGACACCTGCGTCTTTGGCTGCTCTGCTTCTGATCTGGCTCCCTGCTAATGCTCTTGGGAAGCAGCCGGTAATGGCCAAATGCTTGGCCCCTGCCACCCAAATGGGAAACCTGGATGGAATTCCTAGCTTCTGGCTTCATCATGACCTAATCCTGGGCATTTGGAGAGAGACCCAGTGGCTCTCTTTCTCTCTCTTGCTCCACCTTTCAAGTCAATAAAAATAAATGCATGTTTAGAAGACAGAATTAAAGCACATTAGGAGAAAAATTAAGAGATTATGTTCGATAGAGCAGATGGGAAGCCGATCACATACAAAAGAAAGTCAGACATGTTTGTTTATGTAAAAATCAGAAGCAATTAGTGGCCAAAGAATATAATAAAGGTGGTAATTGGGCGATCAACTGGCAAAAAATATATTTGCAACATAAATGAGAAATATGATAAACACCAACAATTTACAAATTCTTCCAACTGATAAAGAAGACAGTTGATGAAAAAAAAGATGTGCAAATTAGGATAACAGGTAAGTTTCAAAAGTTTAAGTCCAAAAGTCAATCAGCTAATGTATTTTTTTAAAGGGTAGAAAGAAAAACAGCATGACAATTCTATCTGTGCAGGCTCTGGGCATGAGCAGTAAGACTTTCCCGATAGACAGGCATGGAAGACGCGTTTCTAACAGGGCTAAGACGCATTCCATGTGATGTTGGCCTTCTTTCTTATGCTTTCTTGCATCATTTGGGTTTTAACAATCATGAATCCGTTGCACTGTGTATATAATCAGAAAAGTTATTATTTTAGGAAAATCACATTGACTCAGAGCACAGGGTCTAGCATCAGCGACTTTGCATTTTCAAGTCTCGGCGCCACTTTGGCTCTCTTGTCTCAGTTTTTTTGTGTTCAAAGTGTGGACTGTGGCGGAGTTTTGGGAAAGACTGGACAAGCCAAACAGAAAGAAAAACAAACAAACAAACAAACAAACAAAACTCAGGACGCTTCATGTGGAGGTACAGGTAGGACTCCATAACTGACCAATCTATTGTGGTGGTGGTGGTTTTGTTGATTTTACCATAAGCTGAAATGCCTGAGGTCTGAAGCCTGCTCAGCCTCGTGTTTGTGCTCATCAAGGACAAATGGTCCTAGAGGAACATGTGGTTGAAACTAGCAGGCTCAAAGCAGGACGTTATGCTTCAGCAAGAATCGCCACTCTGGGCCCTGCACAACTGGCTAATCCTCCACCTCCAGGTGCCAGCATCCCTTATGGGTGCTGGTTCATGTCTTGGCTGCTCCACTTCCTATCCAGCTCCATGCTTGTGGGTTGGGAAAGCAATGGAGAATGCCCAAAGCTTTGGGACCCTGCACCCATGTGGGAAACCAGAGGAAGTTCCTGGTTCTTGGCTTTGGATCAGCTCAGTTCTAGCTGTAGTGGTCATCTGGATAATGAACCAGTAGATGGAAGATCTTTCTCTTTGTTGCTCTTTCTCTCCACAAAATTTGCCTTTCCAATAAATTAATCTTTAAAAAGAAGGAAAGAAAGAAAGAAAGAAAGAAAGAAAGAAAGAAAGAAAGAAAGAAAGAAAGAAAGAAAGAAAGAAAGAAAGACTGCCCACCACCGTTGTCATTATCCCTTGTGGCATTGAATTCTGCCATATCACCTACAATACAGCCTCTGCCTCCTACCTTTAGACAATTCAGTGGTTTGCATTCCTTTCTCTGGGTAGTGGGCAGGTGTGTAGTGTAGCAGAGAGGTCACCGTTTGGAATGACTGCACCCTGATTTACAGCTCCTGGTTCCAATCCTGGTGAAGTCCACTGTGGATACAGCCTCCTCCTAGAAATGCTCATTCTGGAATGCAGCAGAGGGTCCTTTCATGCTTGGGTACCTGCCACCCACAGGAAAGACCTGGCCGGAGTGCTGAGCTCCTGATGCTGGCCTAAGAGCTCAAATGTAAGGTTCCACTTAAATTTGATATTATCCCAATCGACAAGCTGGCTATGCTTGGCCAAGCAACTGTCAAGGTCATGGTCTAAAACCTGGCTGGCATAGGCATTTGGGGAATGAATCAACAGGTAAAACATCTCTATCTCTCTGTTTCTATGTTTTTCTCTGTCTCCTTTCACACTGACTTTCAAATAAGATGACAACAAATCAAGCCTAAATGACACAGATACACCCCTGGTACACCCCACTCCCTCCCAGCTCAGCACGCCACACCCTCCTCAGCCCTCTCACCTTCAGGTACCAGAATTTCACTAGTTGCAGAAGATTCTTCAGTTTAATGGGACGGCTTTTCACAAAGTGCCTTTGTATCACTGTGAAGCTTGGTGAGAACTCCCCTGGGTAACTGCTGCTGTTTATTAAATCTTCATAGATGTCTGGTGCTGGTTTTGAGTCCGGGCATAGGGATCCTGGGTGAAGGAAAGGTACTGGGTTGGAAAAGAACCCTTTGAGGTCATGAATCTTTTTAGTCTTGGAGCTGAAACCTGAAGCCATTAGGAATCCTGTTTTAGAATCCAGAATGATGGCTCAATGGCTAAATCCTCACCTTGTGAGCGCTGGATCCACATGGCCTCTGATTGGTGTCTGGGCAGCTCCCTGCTTGTGGCCTAGGAAAGCAGTGGGGGATGGCCTCAAGCATTGAGACACTGCACTCACGAGGGAATCCTGGATGAAGCTCCTGGCTCCTCACTTCAGATTGGCTCAGCTGTGGCTGTTGTGGCCATTTTGGGAATGAATCAGCGAATGGAAGAGCTTTCTATTTGTCATTTTCTTTGTAAATTCTATCTGCCTTTCCAATAAAAATAATTAAATCTTTTTTTTTTTTTAAGGAATTGTGCTTTAAAGATGATCTTGGAGCCAGGATGGTAGCTAACCCCTTATCTGTGCCACCAGCATCCCATATGGGCATCAGTTTGATTCCTGGCAGCCCCATTTCCAATACAGTTCCTTACTAATGACCTCAGAAATCAGGGGAGGACGGTTCAAGTCCCTGGGCTCCTGCACCCACATGGGAGATCCAGAAAAAACTCCTAGATCCTGTTTAAGACCAGCCCAGCTCTGGCTATTGTGGTCATTTGGGGAGTGAACCAGTGAATGGAAGATCTCTCTGGCTCTCCTTCTACATGTTGGCTCCCTCCCCAAATGAATGCAACAGCCAGAACTGGCCAGGCTGAAGCTAGCACCCTAGAACTGCATCCAGCTCTCCCACCTGGTTGGCAGGGCCCCCCCAAGCACTTGGGCAAAGCATCTTTCACTGCCTTTCTAGGCATGTCAATAGGGAGTTCGTTTGGAAGGGGAAGCAGTTGGGGCTTGAACCACTGCTCACATGGGATGCCAGAGCTTCAGGTGGTGACTTAATTGGCAGTGCCACCCTGCCAGACACATGTAGGATCAATTGAGAATACCATCTGGCCCTAGCCAGATGCTGCAGCCTGGACCTGCTTGCCACTTTGACCCGAGAGCACCTGGAAGTCCTTGCTCAATGGCCCAGGAGCTTAGTAAGAAAAATCTCTTCGCTTGGGCAGGAACCAACAACCCAGGAAGGACTTTGAAGTTCCCTTTCCCTCATGCAATATTGGGACACCCCAATCTTCATCTCTTAAGTCTCACTACCCCCTTGACCTGCCCTCCTCTGTCTCACTACCCCCTTGACCTGCCCACCTCTCAACAGCAACACCCCTGCTTCCCCATCTCGGTTCTTCCTTTTGTAAACCTTCCCCCGGGGCCTTGTTGATACAGGGGGAAGGAGGAAGTCCAATGAGTTTTTTTTTTTTACCCAGAACATCGAAAGCAGGAAGCAGGTCCATGCGGATGACCCTACTGCTCTTCTTGGACTGGAGCTGGAGGGACAAGGAGCGAGCAGGCCTGGGCCCTTTGTGTGAGGCTACTTTGACTTGGTAGGCCAGGCTTCTGCCGCAGCGTTCCAGCTTGTCCTCCATAAAGCTGATGATGCCATCACGGAGCAACTGCTGGCTCTGGAAACTGGAGAAGCAGCTCAGGAACAGGATCACGTCCAGGTCGGAGCTCTGGTTCAGGGTCGTCCCCTTCCCCGAGGAGCCACCCTGTGGATAGGGTAACACTGAGGGCTGTCGCCTCCGGCCAAGGCCCCACACCTAAAGGTTGGGAGTGGACTTCAGAGGTAGGCACGCGAGGCTGGTCATGTAGGTCCCCCGGGGAATCCCAGGTCACTGTGAGTCTGGAAGGTTGAGCGGTCCTAATCTGAAAACCTCAAAGCTCCCCACCCCCCGCATCAGAATCTTTTTGAGAGCCAACGTGACAAGCGCGGGTGGAAAATTCCACCCCTGACCTCAGTTCAAATACTGGTGTACTTAAAAACTGTGGGAGATGGCCTTCAGGACCATGTCTAGAAGATGAGGGGTGGGGGGCGGGGAGAGAAACAGAAAAGGAGTTTGTGTTTAGATATAGGCCCTATCCCTGTGATATTTCATAATGTGTTTCCAAGTATCCCCAAATCCCAAAGTATCCCAATCCTCCTGGCTCCAAGGATTTCTGATAAAGGTCAATCAGCCTGTTCTGTATCATGTCATTGTTCAGAGAACTTGAATCTCTACTACCCCCCCCAGGCTGTAAATGGAATGGGAAACCCCCTAGATCCTTTCCCCGTCCATTGTCCCAGCTTCCTACGTTTCATCCCACCAAACTTCCACGCTTTGGTTCCTGCACTGTTCAGCTTGGTGGCAAACAGCCATGCATGAATGCTTAACTTAATTATAATGAAGCAAAACAAACTCAGTTCTTCCTACTAATTTCATTTCAGGTACTCCACAGCTACTCAAGGATGGTAGCTAGTACATGGCGGAGCACTTATGGAAAAGTTCTATTGGACAAGCACCATTCTCAACCTCTACATACGGAGGCTCCAGAAAGATCTTGGAAAGCAGAATTGAAGATACATTTATTTTGGTAGCCCCTCCCGCCCCGTCCCAAATCCAAGTTCACGCAAAAACATTCATGGAAATTCACATCAGGGAAACAACTATGGATCCCCTGGCAAAGCACTGGGATCCTATGTGGGCACGGGTTTGTATCCTGGTTGCTCCATTTCCCATCCAGCTCCCTGCCTGTGGCCTGGAAGCCTTGGGATCCTGCACCAGCATGGGAGACCCAGAAGAAGCTCTTGGCTTTGTTGACTCAGCTGTGGCCGTTGAGACCATTTGGGGAGTGAACCCAACAGATGAAAGATCTGTCTTTCCTTTTCTCTGTAAATCTGCCTTTCCAGTAAAAATCTTTATTTTTTTAATTCTACCACAATCACTCTCATTCAAACTTATCCACGTTTTGATTTCTCAAGGGGTCTGCTCTTTGATGTCTTGTAGGGTAGCACCTGTCACGGATAGTGATGTGGTTTGCAGGAGGTCTTACTTCATTTTGGCTGCACCAGAAGATTATTTCCTTTTTCATGTGTTTTTTAATTTTTGTTTTTAGTTTATTTTCTCTGGAGGAAATACATTGATAAGCACAGTTCAATAATCAGGAGACCTTTAGCTCCATCCTGTTTCTCTACATTGAGTTCCTATTGAATAAACTGGGGCCGAATCCAGGAGTGCCTTTTTTTTTTTTTAAGAGTTATTTCTTCATTTTTTATTGGAAAGTCAGATATACAGAGAGGAAAAGATACACAGAGGAACATCTTCCATCTGATGATTCACTCCCCAAAGTGGCTGCAACTGCCGGCGTTGAGCGGAACCGAAGCCAGGAGTCTCCCCCCGCGGGGAGCTATCCTCGACTAAGCCATACGCTGGCAGCTGAATGGGAAGGCGCGGCCGGGACAGGAACCGGCTCCAATTTGGCATTCTGGGCGGCGCGTGTTTGATGAGGATTTTAGCCTCCGCACAGGGACAAATAACCAGGTTTCAGCCAACCACAGGCAACCAACCCGGCCAGATCACGCCCACCAAGGCAGACACTCAGCTGTAGCCAATCACGGGATATCTGCTTTGTTTACTTGGTTGGCGTGTGAAAGCTCGCTGCTCACATCCTTTCCAGGGCGAGAAGCGCCCGTTCAAGAATCCTTTGCATAGGTCAACTCTGTTACATTTTAATTTGTCCGGAGTTTTCCTTGTAACCATTACATGTGAAAAAAAAATGTTTTTCTAGTTATTTATACAGATTTGTGTTAAAAAAAAATTCTTACTTGAAAAGCAGCCTCCCTCCTTACTTCCCCTCCTTCATGGTTCTGTCTCCCTTCCCACTGAGCTAGCTCCCCAAATATCTGCAATGATTGGGGCTGGACCAGGCAGACGCCAGAAGCTGGGAACTCCGTTAAGATTTCCTAAGTGGGTATAGGGGACTCCAGTGCTTGAGCCCTCACCTGCTGCCTCTGAGGGTATGCATTAGCACCAAGCTGGGGTTGGAGGCAGAGCTGGGATTGGGTCCCAGGGAGCCCAACACGGGATGCAGGCATCTCAAGGTGGAGTTTGCACAGCTGTGCCAGATGCCTCTCCGTCTTTATAAACATTTGAAATGTGCTCGATGTGCTGGACTGAACGCATCCCTCTTTTTCTTCTGCTTTTTACCTTCTGATGAACAAGAGCTGGCTGCTGAGCCTGTGATGGGTCCTAGTGTGTCTTTTCGATTTGACAGATTAAACAACGTCTGCCTGTGGATTCCAGAACCTGGCCTTGGAAAGTGGCGAGGGAATCTGACCCTCTGTGGTCAGCATGATCAGGGGACTGGATTAAGGACTGCAGGATCCAATTAACTGCTGTAGTTCCAACCCGCTTCATTAGTACCTGGCCAGAGGTCAACAAGTAGCCGACCCCATTCTTGGTTCCCTTTATCCCAGCAAGTGGAGGCCGAAGTAGTTGGACCCCTGTTCCTCACATGGGAATTCCAGCTTTAGTGTCCAGTTCCTGGCTTTGGCCTTGTGCAACCCTGGCTGTTGTTGGCATTTGAGGAGTGAACCAGCTGATGTGAGAATTCTTTTTTTTTCTCTCTTTCCTCTGCTTTTCAAATACAATTAAAAGTTGGAAAACAAAAAAATCATGATGTACTTTACACAGTCTTGTGTAACTTTAATGTAGACATTTGGTTTCTGACTTGAAGGGCAAGAAGAGATAGAAGAGGATGGGCTTGGGTGGTGAGGGTGGAAGGGGAGGTGGTGATTAAGCACTGAGAGATCCTTTCAGATGTGATCATTGGTATTGGTAGAGACCCCAGCCCACTCGTGGTAAGAAGGTGGTGAAATCAGCATGTTTGACTCTAGAAAAAAAAAAATACAGGGCCCGGCGCGGTGGCGCAAGTGGTTAAAGGTCCTCGCCTTGCACGCCCGGGATCCCATATGGGCGCCGGTTCTAATCCCGGCAGCCCCGCTTCCCTTCCAGCTCCCTGCCTGTGGCCTGGGAAAGCAGTCGAGGACGGCCCAAAGCTTTGGGAACCTGCACCCACGTGGGAGACCCGGAAGAGGCTCCTGGCTTCTGATCGGCATAGTATCGGCCCATCGGCCCGTTGCGCTCACTTGGGGAGTGAATCATCGGACGGAAGATCTTCCTCTCTGTCTCTCCTCTCTGTATATCTGCCTTTCCAACGAAAAAATAATAAAAATAAATCTTTAAAAAAAAAATACTGCACTCAAGTCCCAGGCTGGTGGGATAACCCCAGAAGAACAAAGGGACAAAACCTACAGAAGCAGAGTTTTATTAAGCCTTCGGTTACAAGCCAAATGTCAGGTGTCAGGGCAGAGGCTCTGAAATGGCTGATTCTGGCAAACTCACATTTGTTTCAGAGCATGTTCCCGAAAAGCTCATCTTGTGATCTTGTGCTTGGAGGAGGGCCAGAGCAGCTAAGATGAGGGAAGTTTCTAGAGGCCATGGGTAAACCAGACTGTTGAAGATGCTAAGAAGTGACCCCCTGCTTCACTTCTACACTGCTTCTACAACTACACCCTGGACCGTCTCCTAACCCTTACTTGTATCCTGGCATGGTGGGTTAGGCTGCCACTTGGGATGCCTGTCTCCCTGACTAGAGTTCTGGTGGCAATCCTGCGTACTCCACTTCTGATTTAGCTTCTTGTGATGCACCTGGGCACGCAGCAGGCAATGGCTCATGGGCCTGGGACGCTGTACCCACGTGCTTGGGAGACCTGGCTGTTGGCCTCCACTTGGTCCAGCTCTGGTCTGTATGGCCATTTGTGGAGTAAACTGGAACATGTGTCTCTCTCTCTCTCTAATAGATAATTTTTTAAAATAAGTTGAATTATACTTCAGTACTTTTTCAGAAGGAACCCTGCAGCAGGTAGACACTAAATTACATGGTCAGCTGCTAAATGCTCATTAAACTCTAGAGTACTCTGATATTGACTAATTGCTAGATAGTTTCTCTTTTTTTTCTTTTAAGGCTTATTTGAAAGGCAGAGTGACACAGAGAACACACACACACACACTACATCTTATATCCATTGGTTCACACCCCCAGATGGCTATCACAGCCAGATCTGCACCAGGCTAAAGCCAGGAGCCAGGAACTCCACCCAGTCTCTTACTTGGGTGGCAAGGGCCCAAGCACATGGCTCATCTTCTGCCTTCCTAGGTACCTTAGCCAGGAACTGGGTCAGAAATGGAGCAGCCAGGACTCAAACAGGCGCTCCTGTATGGGGGATACCAATATCCCATTGGCAACTTAACCTGCAATACACTAGCCTGGCCAGTAAGTACCGCTTCCAGAGTGCATTGAAAGGGAGATTATCTTTATGATGCTTGTGTTGAAGCAGGGGTTTGTTAAGCAAAAACAAAGGCATCTCTTTTTACAGATTTACAGAGATCTGCTGTTTACATTCCACCCGACTCGCTGGCACTTGGACCTCCATCGCAAATTGTCACTGCCATCATGATCATCATCATTATGATCATCATCATCATCAAAATTAACTTAGTGCTTAAGAGTGCTTCCCCCATTTATCAAAACAAACCCAGGTTAGAGAAGAGAAACCCGAGGCTCAGAGAGACCTGGTAACCCAGGACCCCCAGTCCCATGGTGGTGCAGGTGGGACTTCCCCAAGCCCCCCTCCCTGCCCCCACCACTCACCTTCACCACCTTTAGCACCCTGACTTCCTGGTCCAGCACTAGCTCATCTTCAAAGCACTGGTGCTGCAGGAATTTGCAGATCCTCTGCCAGGCGTCCTGCACCTCCTCCTTCCAATCCCTCTGGGGCAGCAGGATGTGCCTCACAAAAGCTTCCAGCTCATCACCGGGCGTTTCATACAGGTCCCACGAGAGCTCCATCCCTGCAGGCCTAGGCGGGGCAAGCTAATAAAGCCTTTCTGCTCCCCTGTCCCCTGGCACAGGAAGGGGGCACTTGGCAGCCTTTCTCCAGGGGTTTTTCTCTGATGGCAGAGGGGAGAGGGGAGGACAGTGTAGGGGCAGACAGGGAGTTCCCTTACTTGTGCCAGTTCCGTGCTTGGTCTGTCTGCAGCTTGTAATTCAGCTCTCCTTGGCTGCCAGAAACTGAAACTGGAATTATTTACTTGGGTCTGGAAATCGAAACTTAACTGAGCTGGATCTGTAGCTGCGTGTTTCAGGTTGCTGGGGAAACCGGCTGGGGGTGGAGCACACAGAGGACTTCCTGGAGATGTCCTGCACTCCTCCCCACGCCCCGCCCCGCCTCCTTTGGGTGACAGCAGCTGGCTGCAGGGAGAGGAACTCATTAACCCTCTTCAAGAGTCACACTGTGTAGGTCCCTGAGGCCAGATGTGCCTGCTGGCTAGAGGTCAGAACTTGGGCTGAACCTGAGGGACCTTGAGGCTTAGACTTGGTCTTTAGGGTTTTTGAGAGTCAAGACAAACACCCCTTTAAGGTTTATTCTCCTTAGGTCTTATTTATTTATTTATTTATTTATTTATAAATAATCTTACTTAGTTGATTAGGGTACATAAGGTCAAGGGCCATAGGAAAGTGGATAATACCGTTGTTTCCACACTAATATCATTTTTTCCCCCTTACCTGGCGTCAGGGGAGAAACAAAGGGAAAAGCCCCACCCAGCCTCCCACCCATCCCAGGTTACCCCGATGTGAGGCATGCTCCGAGGGTCCTGCTCAAGCAGTTTTGATGGTTCAACAGTTCTGAATTGCTGCCAATCTCGCCATTCCGATCACGATGAAACCTATTTAGAATCCACTGGTTGACATAGTCTCTTCATGGTTGGGGTTCTGAGATCAGCAGTTCAGTTGGAGAGATCTCCAAAGAAACTTCGTCTGAGGTGATCTCAGTCCTGATTCTTGCGTTGAGTTTGCCGGTGCAGGGTCTGGCACAGTCCATCTCCCCAATCAGCTTATGCACATGCTGGTATTTGCAATTGCTGGGTCAGTTCTATTTTCAGCCCTGTCTTTTACGCGAACCAATGGGTGTTGCAGTCCAGCCCGATCTTGCCCATTTAATACCTGGGAGCTGCAGCCTAGTTGAAGCAACTCCCCATAACCCCCACCAGGCCTGCCCCTACCCCAGTTCTCATGCTTGCCGGTATGCACCACAGACTTTTTCAGTCTGTCCCACACCCCATTTAGCTCTCATATGTGTCAATGGGCATTAAAGCCTAGTTCAACCCAATCAACCCTACTATCCAGCCCACACACATACTGGCGGGTGCCTTTCTGTCTAGCCACCCCTGCCCCTGTCCTGGTTTTTGTGCTTTCCAGTGGGAGTGGTAATCCAACAGGCAGCTGCCCACTATTTCCCTACTAGGTCACTCCCACTCCCTGATTATGCACTCTCTACCAGCTCTACCAGCTGATGCTGTGGCAAAGCCCAACCAACCCTCACCCACTCCAATTTTTGCTTGCACCAGTTGGAACAGTTAGCCCAACCTGGCTTTTCCCTGATCTAGCTCACATGAGACCCACAGGTATTATAGCCCTGCCTGGTCTGGTCTGCCTCCATCCCAACTCATGCTTTCCAGTGGGAGTGGTTGTCCAGCAGGGGAGCCCACATTCCCCCTGCTGCTGTTGCCCCCTCCCTCTCTGATTCTCACGTGTGCTGTTTGGGTGCTGCGGCCACATCTGGTATGACTCACCTCACCTTGGCATTCTATAATGTGCACTGGTTTGTGTCGTGACTGAACCTGGCCTGACCCACACTCTATTCTGGTACTCGGATTCGCCAGCAGGTGATGTGAATGGGTTCAGCCTGTTCTGACCCCGACCTATGCCAAATGTATGCTGGTGGGTATCTTTCTCTCGCCTGGTCTGGGTTGCTCCCTATCGTGGTTCTTGCGCTCACCTGTAGGGACTGTGTCCCAACAGAGAGTTTCCCAGGTTCCTCCATCAGAACCTCTCCCTATGTCAGAACTTGTGCGTAATGGTGGTTCCACGGGCCAGCCCTCCCTGCTGGCCTTCAATCCATTCCAGTTCTTACTGCTGGATGTTTCGGCCCAGCCAAGGCTTGTCCATACCCAGACACTGCTCACACATGGCTCAGTAGGGACAGAGACCTAGCCTTGTCCGTCCTACATCTACCCAGGTTCTAGCCCTGTTAGGTGCGCCCAGTCCCAGTCCACACTTGTGCCAAGGGAGATTGCAGCCATATCCAGACCAGAATGCAGTCTCCACTCAGGCCCCCACACTCTCCCGTGGGAACCCCAACCTAGCAAGAGCGTACTCTCACAGCTCCCCAACTGAACCTATTCCCAGCCCTAGATTATGTGCGTGCCAGTGGTTGCTCTGACCCAGTTGGCTTACTCACCTGTCTCAGCCTTTGCCTTCAATGCTGTGGCCTAGTATCCTTGGCTCATGCAGACCAGTCAGTGTAATAACTAGGTTGGCATGTTCCTTCTGAGTTGAGGTTTGCTTGGCCCTGCCCGGTCCACCTCCTTCCAGTTGCAGCTCAGCCCACCCCACACCCTATTTTGGGATGCACTTTCAGGTGCTGCTGCCTTGGCCTGCCCAGACTGTTGGTTTCTTTACCTGAAAATGATGACAGGTGCTGTTGTCACACCTAGCTCAACCCATCGCCACCCCAGCTTGCGAGCTAACCTGCAGGATTTGTATTTCCACAGGGTTGGGCCCACACTTGCCCCACAGGATCTATCCCCAGACCTAATTCTCTCGCATGCTAGTTAGTGTCTTGACCCTGCTAACTGTGACCAGTCCACTGTTCCACCATCCAGTTAGGTACTGGTACCTAGCCCTGCCAGATAGACCCCCATCCATAGCTTTGGTGTGGACTGATATGTGGCAATCAGTGATGCTCTATGCTAACAGCCCATCTCAGGATTCCCATTTGGGCTGGTGACTCAGTCTGGCCCAAATAGATCTTATGGACACTTCTCTCTAAACCAAAAGGTCTCAGTCCCCATGCTTGCCAAAAAGTTTCGTGACTCGGGCCTGGCGTGGTGGTACAAGTGGTTAAGGTCCTCTCCTTGCACGCCCGGGATCCCATATGGGTGCCGGTTCTAATCCCGGCAGCCCCGCTTCCCTTCCAGCTCCCTACCTGTGGCCTGGGAAAGCAGTCGAGGACAGCCCAAAGCTTTGGGACCCTGCACCCACGTGGGAGACCCAGAAGAGGCTCCTGGCTTCGGATCGGCATAGCATCGACCGTTGCGCTCACTTGGGAAGTGAATCATCAGACGGAAGATCTTCCTCTCTGTCTCTCCTCTCTGTATATCTGCCTTTCCAATTAAAAAAATAATATAAATCTTTAAAAAAAAAAGTTTCGTGACTCCATTACTGGGAATCACCCAGAATTTATCTCTAACATGGCTTATTCATAAGTGTCCCCAGAGCTCACCGCTGGTGGCCAGCAGGGGAGCCCAGCACCAAATAGGCACACAGTCTGCCCAAAGCCTAGGACTCAGTCGCTGCCTCAGTGACTTTGGCCTGACTCCCCAGCATTGGGTCTGGCCTGGCTGGGGCACCCCCCAAAATAATTTTTTAAACAGACTTTTTGGGGATCTACCTAGTCAGGTTCCTTGCAAACACCCATACAAGCCCAAGCACCTGCCCTTGCTCAGGTTCAGTGACGTCACCACTCTGGCTGTGTGCCACCCCCTGAACTAGGCAGAGTTCCCACATGTGGTCCCCCTGCTTCCCTTTGGGTTCTCTGGCTGGCCTTACCATGACCTTATGCCGTCCACACTGCTGAGGGTATGCACCTTGACCCAACTTAGTTCCTATGCTGCCCACCTGAGGTTGGTGTCAGACAGGGTAGTGGACAGGCTTGGCCCCCAGACACCGGTGGCCAGTCCTAGCCCTGTCTCCCCATGCTTCCAAATGGCCAGCTGTGAAGGTGGGTGCCCCAGGTCTCCAGCATGGCGAGCTTCTGCTCCAATAGCTCTCAGAAGCTCTGGTCTCACAACCCTGATTTTCTCCTGGAGGATGTGGGTCACAAGTGAGTGTGTGCAGCGGGCAGGGCTGTGGAGGCTCAGATGTATTGGGGGGGGGGGGGGGGGCCCGGGCTGTGGAGATGCTTTGACCTTTCCAAAGGAAACGAAGCATATATATGTTGTGTGTGTGTATCTCTGGCATGTTTATGTCACCACCTGCTTTTATGAATAGCTATGTGTATACATGCATCTTGAGGTGACTGTGTCACCATTGTGCATTTATTTAGAAGCAGATTTGGAGCTCCTGATTGACCTCAGCTCTGACCACAAAGATGAGGACACTATGGAAAAAAAAAAAAAGTCCTAGATCAAGCGCCAGCTACTGTCCCCTTCTGGGTCCTTGTGAGCCTGACAACATGGGGACAGCTTCTGAGAGAGAGGGTTGAAGAGAGGCTGTGACCCACGCACCTCCTGGCTGCCCCAGAACTGCGAGGGCACAGAGCAGAAAGCAGCAAACCGAGGAGGGGCTCTGAGTCCTGGACTGTGGTGGGAACGAGCATTCAACATCTGGATCAGTCCCTGCAGGTGCTGGTCTGTGTGGCCTGACCCCACAAAAAGGATAAGGATTGCTCTGCAAGCAGTGTTCATCTTCTGCCCTTGTCTCTGACATTATCTATGCGCTCTGGCTCCCCTCGCCACACCATAGCCCCGGACTGGGATGCGATCATATTTGTGTAGCTCTGCACCGTTGCCTGCGTTTGTCTGTTAACATCCTCAAGGTCAGACAAAAAAGTGACATGTGCCGGCGGGGACGTTGGGAGAAAGGGAAGCCCTCCCAATACGGTGGACGGGATTGTGAGTGGTCAGTGGAGGTGGAGAGTGGCGCGTGGGGTTTCCACATCTAGAGATAGCACCGCTGGGGTCCAGCAGGCTCACTGCTGGGCATCAAAGAGCTGCTGTGGCCCTGTGCTCCCTGTAGCACAGCTCACCACCGCCAAGGTGCACAATCAGTCGCTGTGTTGGTCAGTACAGGAACATAGTGGCCAAGGTGTGGAATTGGCAGCAGTGTCCGCCAGCAGATAAACAGGCAGATAACAAGGCGTGGAGTTGGTGCTGTGGCCCAGCGTGAGAAGCTGTGACCTACAACACTGGCATTCCATGTCAGAGTGCTGGTCCCTGTCCCAGCTGCCCTGCCCTCAATATGGCTTCCAGCTGTGGCTCCTGCGAAAGC